TTTTTTTTAAACAGCTTTGTTGATATATAATTTACATACCATGCAATCTACCCATTTAAAGTGTACAACACAGTGGCTTTTTAAAATTATATTCATAGATATGTACGATCATCACCACGGTCAATTTTAGAACATTTTCATCACCTCAAAAAGAGACCCTATGCCTTTTAGCTATCACCCCCTAATCCTACATTCCCCCAGCCCTTGGCAACCAGGAATCTACTCTCTGTGTCTGTGGATTTGCCTCTTCCAGACATTTCATGTGAGGGGAATCACATATGACTTTTGTGTCTGGCTTCTGTGACTTGGCATCATGTTTAAAGGTTCATCCATCTTGTAGCATGTGCCAGTGTGTCATTCCTTCTTATGGGCAAATAATACCCATTGTACAGATACTCATATTCTCTTCACCCATTCAGCTGTTGGTGGCCATTTAGCTTGTTCCGTCTTTTGACTACTATGAGTCATGCTGTGAACATTTGAGTACAAGTGTTTGCGTGAACATATGTTTCCTTTCTTTTGGGTGCTCACCTAGGAGTGGGATTGCTGGATCATATGGTAACTCTGTTTCATCCTTTGAGGAATTGCCAGACAATCTTCAAAGTGGCTGCACCATTTACCGCTCTCCCCAGCAGCCTATGAGGGTTCCGCTCCACCTGAGGACACGTTTTCCTGTCCTTGGGGCTCTCTTCTGTGGCCTCCGTGGAGATCTGCTGTTGGCTGAGCATATCCTGGTCTCCCAGTTCACACGCACACACGTGCTGTCTGAGAATAAACACATTTACATATTAATATATGCATGCATGTATACACACATAACTTCAAAACAATTTGGCTTCTGTTACCTGCTGAAATAGTTGGGACGTCACCCTGACAGTAGACAGCAGCCGGTGACCAAGTGAACTTGCTTGTTACCGCCCGTGGCAGGACACCCGGGGATTTCTAAGCCAGCATTCACCTCCACAGCTGCCACCTGACTGTCTTCTTCGGGTGCCCTGGAGTGACACCCTAAATTTGGAGACTTCCCTTGAAGGCAACCTGGATTGGGAAACCTCAGCGTGGCCGGGAGGCCTCTGGATGAAGAGGCAGCAGAAGGTGTCACCTTTGCAACCAAAACGATGTCACTAGCCACACTGGGAAATTCAAACAGCCCTTCCCTCCCTCTCTACCCACCCAGCCACCCACAACCCCCCAGGGGAGGCACTGCAGAAGCAGCCACGCTAGGGGGTTTTACAGCGTGGCTGAGGGTGGTCAGACCGGTGCATTGGGGAGTTTCCATTTGGAGAAACGGGCTGAGGACCTTTGCCGTACGTGGCTCGGTTGGACGTAATGAATGATTGTTTTGTTTTCATTGTGTGAACAACCTTTCTAGTACATATTTCCTACTTATTTACTGTCTGCAAAAGAATGAGGTGTGGGTGGAAATTGATATGGCTGACGTTTATTTTCTAGCCTACCAGGATTTATTTCCCCCCTTTTCTTGATTCTCTGATACAGAAATATGAGTTGATTTTAGTGCTTTAAAATGAGCTACCACTTTTCAGAAATATAAACATCTCGTAAATTGAGAGACGGGAGTAATTTAGTGAGGAGGCAGAGAGCCAGAAAGTTCTCACTGCCAGTCTGTCTGCCCGGGTGGTGCCTGGTTTCCTGGCCAGGACAGGGGTTCGAGGGAACTGGGGCCAAACCTCTTGCTGTGCAGATGGGGAAACTGAGGTCTGAGGGCAAGGGACTGAGTCTGTCCTGCCTCCTGATCCGGAGGCCAAGCTTGCCTTCCTGTCCTCTCTCCGGGAGGAGGGTCCCCAAGGCCTGGGGGAGCCCAGACCTGGACAAGAGCCACCTGTCAAGGCCTGGGTACAACACACAAGACACGATGGGGACAAGGGCAGTCTCTGGGGAGGTTCTGCCCTAGATCCATGGGGGGCCGATAGGATCCACAGTCACAGAGAAGTGTAGAAACTTATTTCCCACTTGCATATCACTGGGCTTGGCTCTAACTCTCTTGTCCTAAACAGTTAAGGGAGGGTGGAGCGGGAGGGAGAGAGATTTTTTTAACCCTTCCCTGGGGAGAGGCCTGAGGGTGTGGCGGCTGGAGCAGACCCAGGCTCCCGGGACTCCACATCTCCTGGAGAAAAGCTGAGGAGGATGGGGCGTGTGGGGGTGAGAATCCCTTTAGGCCGAGGGGCAGTGGGAGGGGACTGTCCCTCTGCAGGCCGAGTGCTGTCTCCTCTGTTCCCTCGTCTGACTGCAGGGGCGGGTCTTGCCCAGGACTGGAAGTGAGCAGAGCAGACCAGGGGCCCAGGGACTTGCAGGTGGGGGTAGGAAAGGAGTGTTTTCTTGCTCCAAGCGGCCCCCAAGGGCAGAAACAGGCCCAGGGATGACCCAAGTGACAGAGCGCAGTGGTTACAGGCCAGGCAGAGCTGGGATCCGGTTCTAGTGCTGACACTTACTCGCTGGGTGACTGTGGGCAAATTACTTAACCTTCCTGGTCCTCTGTTTCCTCATCCATGAAGTGGGTCTGATATTAGTGCCTACCTCACAGGGCCGTAAAGATGGAATAAGATGATACATAAGTGGTAGGTACTGTTACTAATAATCACAAAGGTAATAAAACTATAAAGGATGGAATGTAAGGAAGTGTGTTTCAGCCCAGTAAAATGTTAGGAGTGCCCCTACACAGAGCATGTTATGTGTTGAAGGAGGGAGCTCTCTGTCGCTGGAGGCATCCAAGCAAAAGTTAGAGGCCCGCTCACTGGGAGTGTTTTCGAGGTGTGAAGCCTCCTCACAGGTGGCAGAGCTGCAGTGGCCTTGGAGGTGTGCGCTGGGCCTGGAGGCCACCAGCTGGCCCTTCTGCCCCAGGCCCTGAGTGCCCTGGGAGACAGGCCTCCTTTGGGGGTTCTGCGGGGCTGCAGTGGCAGAGGACCTTGGATCTGGTCACCACTTGTGGTTGTCCAGGTTTGGGTGTGGCCTGAATGCCCCTGTGGTCCCCAACACTGTCTTTCCTCCCTCGCCCAGGGGTCCCTCTACCAGGAGTGCCCTTCGCTTCTCAAGTGGGTTTTTTTTTTGCCGCCCTAACAATTTCCCTCCTCTTCGGATGCAGTCATCCCCCTTCCTCCAGCTGTGGGGGTCTAGCCAGGGTTGCCAGTCCCTGGGTGACCGTGTGACCCAACCTGGACAGCCCACAGCTCTCCCTTGGCCTTCCCGGATGAGGCTATGCAGGGAGAGTCTGCTTGTCTCCGGAGGCGGAGTGGAGGTGTGCCCTCCTGGACAGGGGACACGGAGCCTGTCTGGGAGAAGCAGCTGGTGCAGAGGGTGCCGAGGGGAGGGTGCTGAGGGAGCCAGGGCGGGCGGGTCTCTCGCTGGCAGTCCCTGTGTCACGGGGCCGCAGGGCCAGTCCATCCCCCTTCGGGCCAAGGGGTTTGAGTTGAATTTCTGGCCCTGTGCCAGGAGCCTGAGGGCACCCGTCCTTCAGGACACACAGACGGAAGCCCCTCTGGGACGCACGTCCACGCCCTCCATAGCACCGGGCAGGACGTTCGCCATCCTCGGTGCCTCTAACCCTGAGGAGCTCACAGCCGGAGGCTGGGCCTTCTGTGTATGTCCCCCGGCCCCGGCGGGCACGGAGCAGGTACGAGGCCACTGTGCTCCGGGTGAATGAACACGTGCTCAGCGTGTGTGACATTTCAGCAAGCGCATCTTCGGCACTGTGCCGGCAGCTGAGCACCACTGATAAACTGGTTGCCGGGGAAGCCTCAAACTGGCTCCGGTAATGCTGCCGTCTTTGCCTGGAACACGCCTTGGGCTCCTGATTGGGTCTATTTACAAGGGGCAGAGGCGCCCGTCTTGGTTTTGATCCCAAATGGTGTTTTCAGTTTGATTAATGGAAATAGTTGGAAGGGACATGAAAAAGGTTGGCCGCTGCTGGGGGTTAGCGGTGGGTGTTCGGTCGTCTTGGAGGGGGCTCCATAAGGGGCAACCTCGGAGCAGGCCGAGGTGGGCAAATTGGTGGGATTGAGTTGCAGAAAGTTGCCGGGGTTCCAATTCAAATGGGGAGGGTCCAGTTGACGTATAAAAATGGCTCCTTCATTCAAGGCTTTGTGTTCACAGCTGCACTCTCAGCCCCTGGCATGTGCTCAGCACTCAATAGATATTTGTTGAATAAGTGAAGGAACTCAGCAAATATTTATTTGTTAAATATTGCCTACTATTTTCCATGCACTGTGGTAGGTCTCACCGCTTTACAGACATGACGTGTTTTTGTGTGTGCACACGCGGGCACACACATATTAACTCACATCTAGTTATGCGTTTCGCTGGCCTCTGTGCTCACCACCTTCACTGGGGGGTAGTAGCACATTTGCTGGGCTTGGCTGATGGTATATTTTTGTGTTTTTATTTCCAAGGCCAACATTGACTTTTGTTTTAAGGGAATATTTTGATGCAGGGAACGAATTAGACTAAAACCAGAGCATGCATTCCTGGTGCACCATCCTGGCTCCTTCCTTGTCAGTGGGCATTAGCACCCCCCGCAGCCCCCTCCCCGCACTCCCGTGTGCATGCATGCGTGCTGTAAACCTCAAACAATAGCCTTTGTGTTGGAGTGGGGGCCCGGCACCCACCTTGGGGTAGGGAGCCTTTGTCGCTAGGATCTTCCCTCCTGTCTTCCTGTAGGTGAAGCCAAGCCCCTGTGCTGTGCTTTGCCCTGGAATGTGGTGCCTCGGTGTGTGCGCATGTTCCTTGTGGCAGTGGCTTTCATGCCTCTGCCCTTTTCAAAGCAGCAGGACCCTTTGTTTAAATGACATTTTATGTGGCACCCCACGGGCACACACCACAAAGTGGACCTGCTTTGCCTGTACCCACCCCCCCACTTCCCTGCAAACCAAGGCCCTGGAGGAAGGGGCTGCACACGCGTTTGCGTTGGCGTGCGCCACGTGTTCACCTGTTGGCGTGTGCCGCGTGTTCACGCCTCTTCTCTCTCTGCCCCCCTTCCCCCGGCTCAGGCGGGCCTCATCCGCACAGACAGCACTGACTACTTCATTGAGCCCCTGGAGCGGGGGCAGCAGGACAAGGAGGCCGTCGGGAGGACGCACGTGGTGTACCGCCGGGAGGCCGTCCAGCAGGAGTGGGCGGAGCCCCACCGGGACCTTCACAATGAAGGTAGGCCACGGGCAGGGGCCCCGAGCGCCATTTCTGTCCCCACGGCTGGGGTGTTTTTAGATAGCTTCCGGCCTTAAGCTCTCAGTGCCTGACCGTAGTCTTCTCATCTGTGAAATGAGGCTGGGCCACATGTGTCAATAATACCTGGTGTACTAGCAGGGAAGCCCCAATAGGTTCTAGGAGCTACTGTAACTAGCTAGAATTAGGGGCCAGGAGAGCCACTTGTGTCCTGAACTGTGGGCCTCAGGACGCCAGAGGTCTTTCAGGGGCTCACCGTTGCTTCTCGAAGCTATTTCTGAGCCAAGGCAGAAGGCAGAATGGCTGCAGTTAGTGCTTCCCTCCAAAAATTAACTAAACCCTGTAGGAGCCCCAGGAAGGAAGTTTCTGGGGCACTTGTAGGGAGGCTGCCTGGTGTCAATGCACTGGGGTCAGCTTTGTGTCCAATAGACCATTTTTTTTTTTTTTTTTTTTTTTTTCACTTTGTTGCCCAGGCTAGAGTGAGTGCCATGGCGTCAGCCTAGCTCACAGCAACCTCAAACTCCTGGGCTCAAGTGATCCTGCTGCCTCAGCCTCCCAAGTAGCTGGGACTACAGGCATGAGCTACCATGCCCGGCTAATTTTTTCTATATATATTAGTTGGCCAATTAGTTTCTTTCTATTTATTGTAGAGACGGGGTCTCGCTCTTGCTCAGGCTGGTTTCGAACTCCCGACCTCGAGCAATCCACCCGCCTCGGCCTCCCAGAGAGCTAGGATTACAGGCGTGAGCCACCGCGCCCAGCCTAATAGACCATTTTTTAATCCTGCTTCTGACTTGGTCTACCGTGTGACCTTAGACAAGTTACTTAATGTCTCTGATCCTCATTTTCCTAATCAGTCAAGTGGAGATGATCAATGTCTTCCTGTTAAGGTTGTTATATAGGCTGGGCGCGGTGACTCACGCCTATAATCCTAGTACTCTGGGAGGCCGAGGCGGGCGGATAGCTCGAGGTCAGGAGTTCGAAACCAGCCTGAGCAAGAGCGAGACCCCATCTCTACTATAAACAGAAAGAAATTAATTGGCCAACTAATATAAGTATAAAAAAAATTAGCCGAGCATGGTGGCGCATGCCTGTAGTCCCAGCTACTCGGGAGGCTGAGGCAGCAGGATTGCTTGAGCCCAGGAGTTTGAGGTTGCTGTGAGCTAGGCTGATGCCATGGCACTCACTCTAGCCTGGGCAACAGAGTGAGACTCTGTCTCAAAAAAAAAAAAAAAAAAGGTTGTTATATAAACATCTTAGCATGGAACTTGGCACATAGTAGGTGCTTGCTAAATGGTAGCTGTCATTATGGTATTGTTATTAAGGACAGCTACTGACATATTAGGGGGACAACGGTGTCCCCGCACTGTGGTGACCAGTATAGGAGGCTGCAGAGCAGCGACACTCGGGACCCGTGGTTGGGCGGGTGAAATGGTGTATGTGACGGGTTCTGGTCCTGGCCCAGGGCCAACTTCATAGTGAAACTCCGATTTGTCACAAAGACCCTTTGGGCAAGAGGAGATGAGAAGGCCGGGGGTGCAACCGGTAGTAAGTGGCCACACCCTTGTGCCAGGGCCCTGCGGGTTGGGCCCAGCGTGAGGGAATCCCTGGAAACCAGTTGTCCCCACACACGACATGTGCTTTCAAGCTCCAGCTGCGTTCCAAGTGTCACTCAGGAGAGAAGTCCCCACCAGGGCCAGGATGGCTCTGCAGGCCTGGAGTGGGGGGCGGGCCTCCGAGCACAGGTGTGGATTTCAGAGCACCCTTCCCTCCACCACTGCTGGGAACAGGGCCGAGTCACCCTTGGGCTCCCTTTTATTTGAGGCCAGTTCCGAATCAAAAGACCATAAATCCCCCCTGTGGGGAAGAGCCCTTGGGAAGTGCAGCCCCGGTGGGCGGCTGGGATGCTGAGAGCTCTGAGCAGACGGAGCTGGGGTTCAGGTCCAGGGTGACGTGGGCACAGCTCTCCCCTCACCTCGGGCTGCCCGCTGGAACCCCTGCGTGTTCCTCCCGGGAAAGACCAGGGGCAAGAGAGGACCTTCTTGGAAATCTGTGACTCACACTTCTCTTTGAAGGTCCGAGCCCGGCGTGTGGAGCAGCAATTCTGGGGGCGTCTGTCTCTGTCCGCAGGCTCGGCTGAGACGAGAGGCGTCACTGTAGCCCTTGGGGTGTGTTTCTCGGGGCAGGAATGCCTGGGAGCCGGGCTGGCGGCCAGGGCAGGGCTTCCCAGCAGTCTCTCTCTGCCCGTCCCCATCCCTCGCAGGTGTCCCTACCCTTGGGCCCTCAGACCCCGGGTGCCCTGGGTCTGTCCCGTCTCCCACCCAGGCTGGGGGCCAGGAGAACAGGTGCCAAGTGTCCATGTCTGGGTCCCCACAGCCGCGCCTCCCTCCGGGCCTGTGTCCAGCTGTCCTGGAGGAGGGGAGGCGGCGTCCGCGGCTGTGTCCCAGCGGGTCTCCAGTTGAGCTGAGGCTGGGGCGGGGCCTGCTGCCCGGCTCCCCTGTGGGTGAGGGGTCTGAGGTGGGTGTGCCGTGAACTTGGGGCGCGGGGACTGTTCCCCTTGGCACTCAGGCTCTGGCCCCAGCTGCTGCTTCCCAAGGTGCACACTTGTGACACACACACACACACAATCGCCCCGGCCATATACCCACACGGACACACAGACACGCTGCCCTCACACGCGTGCTCACACACTGGCACACATGCCCACCCACACGCTCAAGCTCACACGCGCAGACACACACACCCACCCATACCCTCGGCTTACACACCCACGCAGACTCACACCCACCCGTGCACGCACACTGACACACACACACCCCACACACCCAAACTCGCACACAGACACAAGCGCACACTGACACCCACACAAACACACACCCCTACGTCCACACTCACACACATTCACACCCCCATGCACACACACCCCTGCACATACTCACACACCCTCAAACACACAAACACACACACACTCATGCACACGCACACACGTCCTTCACGGGCCCAGAGAAGCGTTAAGTGATCCTTCTCAGGGGCTCCGGTGAGAAACGGGGCGGTTGAGGGGCCGGAGGTGGGCGCTCCCATGGCCGGACCCTGGATGCTCCCAGCTCCTCCCACGCACAACGGTCCTGCTCTTCACTCGCCCTTCCACCCCCAGGTCCCTCCTGAGGACCTGAGCGGGGCTCGTGCCCCTGTGCCCAGAGCCTCGGCCCTCCCATCCTCTCAGGGCAGCCGGCCAGGCTGGGGCTCAGGGCTGTTGCTGCGGCTACTTTTTAAAAAAATTGAGATAAAATTCATTATTTTAATCATTTTAAGGTATATGTAATTCAGTTTTTTTTACTATATTCACAATGCTATGATATCACCACTATATAATTCCATAATATTTCCATCACTCCCATAAAAAACCCTGTACACTCACTGCTATTTTCCCTTCCCAAGCCCTCCCGACAACCACTAATCTACTTTCTGTCTTTCTCCATAGAATTTTCCCATTCGGACCATTCGTATGAATGAAATCATACAGCACGTGGTCCTTTGTGATTGGCTGCTTCCGCTGAGCGTATTGCCAAGGTTCAGCCATGCTACGGCAGGTGTTAATACTCCACCCCTTTTTATGACAGGGTAATATTCCAGCGCATGGATACACCACATTCATTTACCCATTCATCTGTTTTTTTCTTTTTCCTATTTTTGTTTTGTTTCAGAATATTACAGGGGTACAAATGTTTTGGTTACATGGATTGCCCTTGGACTGCTGGAGTCAAAGATATAAGTGTGCCCCTCACCCAGGCAGTGTGCACTGTGCCTGTCCACTCACCTGTGGGTGGACATCTGCGTCCTTCCTGCCTTTTGGCTTATTAGGATAACGCTGCTGTGAACATTCGCATGCAAGTTTTTGTGTGGACGTATGTTTTCAGTTCTCTAGGGCCTATGTCTAGCAGTGGAATTACTGGGTCATACGGTAACTCCGGGTTGAACTTTTCGAGGGAATTTTTGAGAAAATAGTTTTCTCAAAGCAGCTGCACCATTTACATTTGCTTGGGGCTTCTTGGGTGGGCCCGTGGAAGCCTGCCAGTGGCTGGCTGGCCCTGCTTTGCCCTTAGGTGTGTGCTCCTGGCCTGAAGGATGAGGGACACATAGAAGAGGGTGACGTCAGTGGGCCTTCCCCCCGTTCCCCTGCCTGTCTGCTGAGAGAGCACTCTGGGTGGGCCCTGATGGAGTGGTAATGGGGGAGGGGGAGACCTGACTTTACATTCTGGGTTCTTGCCATTAACTTGCTGTGTGACCTATGGTGAGTCATATAACCTCTCTGAGCCTCCCTTTGACAGACCTGGCTGCCAGGCTGTGCAGAAGGCTAGCTGCCCTTTTCCGATTTCCCTGAAAGGCCAGTGGCCACACATTTTCCCAACTCTTAAGTCTAGATTTTTTTTTTTTTTTGTATTACAGCACCACTCACCACAAAGGAAATAGAAAGAAATAGTAGTGCCAAGCCCCACGGTTCCTGACGTCCTAAGATTTCAGTTCCTCAGTTTCCCCTGTAGATAGACAGCGTAGAGGCACAACTTAGGTCTCTGCAAAGATACCCGTTGATTCATCCGAGAGGATCACCCACGTGTGGGTGGTGTCTCCACGTCCCTGCACGATGGATTCTGCAGGTGCGGTGCCCTTCGCTCTCCAGGCTAAAGCTGGCTTCTCCTGGTCCCCATTCAGCCCCAGCTGAGCTGGCCCTTCCTCCTGAAGCCTCCTCTAGGCTTCCTGGTTTGGGTCTCCCGTGAGGAGGCCTCTCTAGTCAGTCCTGCTGTAGGTAGCCCTTGACATTCCTATATTGGAACTGTCTGATTTTTTGTCCGTCACCTCCGCTAGGGTGTGGGCTCAAGGCCAGGGGCCTCGTCTTCAGCACCCATCCATCTAAAAAGTATGGGACCCCCTCTGCAGCCACACTGCGTGATAGGGGGTATGTAGTGATAGCACCTTTCTGACCTCAGCCCCTGCCTATTGTATAGGGGGTTTCAAATAACTGGATAAATGAACATTCTTAGAAATAAAAGGTATGAGTGTTAAAACTTCAGACCGGGACAATCAGAAAGTCATTAAACCTAAAGGCTCCAAACCCTTCTTGAGAGACCCCAGCCTCCTGTCCTGCCTCTTAGCTTTCCCAACAGTGTCCGCCCCAGAGTTGCTCTGAACTTCCTTCAGGCCGTGGCATAAATGACTGACAATAGTGTAAGGTGTTACCTTTCTACGTGGCAGTATAGATGGGTGATGTCTCAAAGTATGGGCTTTAGATTCAGACAGACCTAGACATGCTGCCTGACATCTTTGAACCTCAATTTGTTCACCTGTATAATGGGGATAGTAACTTGATGGAGTTGTTGTAAGGAATGGATTGGATTGGATTAGATTAAGGACAGGAAACTTAATTTAAGGCCCAGAGCCAAATATGGTCTGCCCCTTGTTTTTGTAAATAGAGTTTTATTGGATCACAGACACACTCATTTGGTTATGTATTGTCTGTGGCTTATTTTGTGCTTCCACCGCAGAACTGAATAGTGATAGACACTCCGTGACCCACAATGCCTAAAATATTTAGCTGGTCCTTTACAGACAAAGTTCTTTTATGTTTTTATTTAAATTTTTTTTTTCCTTTTTAGACATAGGACCTTGCTATGGTCACCTGGGCTGGAGTGCAGTGGCACCATCATAGCTCACTGTAGTCTTGAATTCTTGGGCTCAGCCAATCCTCCTGCCCCAGCCTCCAGAGTGGCTGGGACTACAGGTGTATGCCACCATGCTTGGCTAATATTAAATGTCTTTTTTTTGGTAGACATGGAGTCTTGCTATATTACCCAGGCTGGTCTTGAGCTCCTGGTCCCAAGTGATCCTCCTGCCTTGGTCTCCCAAAGTGCTGGGATTACAGGCATGAGCCACTGAGCCTGGCCCCAAAATTGTTTGGTAACACCTAGATTGGATAAGTTAATAAATGCTAGTTAAATAAGTAAATATTTTGCTTTTAGCCAAAAGGGCAAAGCAGTGATGGGGAGTTTTGGGGTCTTGGGTGGTGCTTGGGATGGATTTGAGAGGCTCAGTGCTCACAGGGGTATTCTAGGGGTTCCTCAAATGCCCTGAGTAGGCCGTGGTACCACCACGATGCTTTCCTTTATGAAGATGGTTCCACCCACTGCCACCTTTGCTTTTTACAGCAACCTTGTGGGGCAAGAGAGCAGGGGTGATTTATCCCCATGTTACAGGGTAGGAGAAGGGGGCCCAGAGAAGCAGAGGGACTTGGCTGGGGACGCACAGTGAGATAGGACGAGTGGTCCTGCAACAAGTGGTCCAACCAAGCTGTACAACTGGTCCAGCTCAGGGCCAGTCCTCACCCCTCTGCTACTCCCTTGCCCCAAAGACTTGGCCGCACCCTCGCAGCAGGAAAAGGGCTCCTGCCCACGTGTTGACCCGATACAGAACAAGCCCTCAAGAGGCAAGACAGGGGCGCACGTGATGGGGCAGGGGTGGTCGTGGGTGGTGTCATAGTGACAGCCCCTCCTGTGGGTCTGACCTCGCTCTCTTCCCATCCTGCTTCCAGCCTTTGGCCTGGGCGACCTTCCCAACCTGCTGGGCCTGGTGGGGGACCAGCTGGGAGAAGCGGAGAGGAAGCGGCGACACGCCAAGGCGGGCAGCTACAGCATCGAGGTGCTGCTGGCGGTGGACGACTCGGTGGTTCGCTTCCACGGCAAGGAGCACGTGCAGAACTATGTCCTCACGCTCATGAACATCGTGAGTGTCCTGGGTCCTGGGACTGGCTGGGGCTGGGCCTGGGTTCTGATCTGAACGGAAGACTTCTCAGGGCAGGCGTTTTCCACGGGGGACTTAGGGGAGTCACGGCTGGCTCCTTAGCCCGGCGGGCACGTCCCGGGCAGTGGGTTCCGGGTTTGGCAGGCCTGAGCTGGTCTCCAGGCTGCTCCGCGGTGGGGCTGGGATCTGAGCGCTGCCCTGTCCACGTCGGAGTGCTGTCCATGGCTGGTGACCCAGGTGTCAGGGAGGAGAAACCACATTGTCTCCGTCTTCTTATGTTTGGTACCAGAGAGCCTGTGAATTAAACTAACAAAGGACACATTAGCAAGAGAAAAGAGCGTGGTAACCAGTTCCCTGCGTATGGGAGTGTTCGATGACAAGTAGTTCCAAGGGGTGGCTGACGTTGGGCAGCTGACATATGGTCATTTAGTAGGGAGGGAAGGGAGGGGAGACAAGGCTTCCGTGGGAAGGACAGATAGGGTCTTTAGGAAAGACACAGGGTTTGGAGGAGAACGAGGGGGATGGAAAGTTTGTGATGACGTGTGCTTGTGCAGATCGGGTGGCCTCTCTTCTTTATGGCCGTGACCTGCTCTTGAGGGGCACTCTTGGGAGCCTCATTTGCCAGAAGTTGCTGCTTTTATTCAGATAAGGGAAGCTCTGAGATGCCTCTTTTCTGCATTTGTTGAATTTCAAATATCTTTAGCTTAAAATGAAACTTTACTAACTCTGGGGTTCCAGATGGGAACCTCACATGGGTCCTCACACGCCAGGATCGGGACCCCAGGGGCAGCCCCAGGAGCATGAGTGTATGTGAGCGTGTCCTGGAAGGGCCGTGGCCCTGTGCCAGTCCCCAGGGTGGGCTTCACGTGTGGGGTCCTGGCCGCTGGGTGCTCCTGGCAGAGCCCCTGCCAGACCTCCTGGCTGATCTGGTTCAGAGACGGTCAGCCGAGTATCCTGGGGGTGGAGGGGTGCTCTTTGGGGCTATAGCAGGACATGAAACCCACCTCCGAGGTGTAGGGGTGGAGGCAGCAAAGTGTGGAAGGTGGGGGGGAGGGTGGACAGGAACTTGTTCCCGAAGCAGAACTGGGCAGCTTCCCTCGGGAACTGGAAGAGGTCTTCCGATGGGTCCTAGGAGGAGACGTGTGCTTCCCTAGAGCGGAGTGTGCTTTTGAAAGTTGGTGTTCCCAGGGCTTGCCCGGGGGGCTAGTTAGGCCCTCAGATCCGGAGCAGGAACAGACCCTGTGGAAGTGGTGGGCATGGGTGGGAAGCTCTTTCCAAGCCCTTGAGGTTCATGACATGGAGGCCAGCATCCAGCTGTCCCTTGTCCTGTGGGGGGTGTCCCTCCTCACGTCCCACGACTTTACTCTTAGAGGAAGGTAAACTCGTGACCCATTCTCGCCCTCTTGGCCAAATTAACACATTCTGACTTTTGACCCTCGACCTCTGACCCATGACCCATAGTCCTGGCCAGGGAGCATCATCAGCTTCCACTGAAGACCATGACATGAAGGCCTGCTGTGGAGACTGCTGTTTGGATAGTCTTGGTTCCTCCTTCTTTCTCACAACCTACCGGAACGTGGGTGAGGAGAGTCTTGTCTTCTCTGAGGTTCCAGAAGGCTGTTAGAGTCTGGGTCTTCTGCTCGCTGCTGCCTTGCTCCGTGAATGTGGGGACAGAAAGGGCTGGCAAGGGTGAGGGGTACCGTTGAGGCAGAGCTGCCCACTAGGGAAGCCCAGCTCCTCTGGGGCACGGGGGCCCAGCTCCCCGGCCAGCCAGACTTCCGGCCCAGGGAGGTGAGCAGGTGGATGCGGCAGCCTCGCCCTCCCAGGGGGCCAGCAGCTCATCCCGTCCATTGTGTGGGAGCTTTCGTTTGGCTGGGATGCTCGGCGCTCACGTTCCCTTAGGGGATTTCCATCGAACCCATAAAAAGGAGGGCCTGTCTGCCCGGGACCCGTTCTGATCCTGATTCCAGGGCCAGGCTGGCCTGGTGGGGTCGGAGAGAGGAGATCTGTTTCCCGGGATGGCTGGTCCCATTGTGCTAACCCAGAGGTGGGGCCAGAGCGTTAGAGAAACACTCAACGTTATCTGATGAGGCCCTTGGCACTGCAGTTGGCAGGGCAGCTGTGAGAACCCGTCGGCTTGCCCTGCCTCCCGGTTTTCTTTTGCATTGACCTGGGGACGTGCTGTAAACATGAATGCAGCTCCAGATGATGGCAAAGACTGCCTCCCTCTCCCTCCCTCACAGGCTGGGGGCCCCTGGGGAGACTTGTCTTTCTCCGTGCCTCAGTTTACCCATCTGTACCAGGTCACTTTCCTTAAGGTTTCTTCAAATCTCAGGACTAGAGACCCATTTGAGCCCTTTGAAACACAAAGGGGTAGTTTTCAGCATTTAGTGAGCGCCTGCTGTGTGCCTAGTATCACAGACAGATTCCTGGTCCAGAAGCTTTAGTCTGGCTGCAAAAACAAGCCTCAGTTCCACAGATGGTTCATTACTCGAATGATGTGGGGTTGTGGTTGAGAAGCCACCAGGAATAACATAGAAGTTCTTGCTCGCACAGGCGGTGGCAGCCACATGACAGGTGCCACCTGGCCAAGAGTGATTGTAATTGTGAAAAGCACCTCTCAGACAGATGGAATGCAGTGTGTCTCAGGCGTGCTGAATGTTGGAGCATGTGGTTTGCAGTCACCACGTACCTTGTTGTCCAGACTCTCAGTCCTGGGACTGAGAAAGGGCAGGAGAGGTCATCGCGGCCGCCCCCCTTCTGTCCATATTCAGAGGCAGTAAGTGCCCAGGGAAGGTCTTCGGAGGCCTGGGCCTGACTCTGGCTGTGACTGCCGTCCTTGGGCAAACCTCTCTATGGCTTTGGGCGTGCTTTCTCACCATGAAAATGGGGAAGGCATGCCATTCTCCTTGGCGGGCTTTGGAGAAGTGGCTGACTCTAGGACGTGGGCAGGGAATATACAAGATGAGCCTGGAGCATCTTGTAGTTCCAGAAGGCAACAAAGTGCAAAACAAACAAAAAAACAGAACAGTGGGTGTATTTAAGGGACTGAAAGAGGGACTTGAAAGAGCTCTCCATGGCCAAATCTGGGACAGTCCGAGCAGCAGAATGAATTGTGCAGTATTGAATTATAACCCAGAATATATAATAAACATGCCAATAAATAAATAATTGAATAAATAAGCGGGGGAGAAGGGGCATCTCTCCATGCAGAAGAATCCCAAATTATTTATGTAGGTTCTCCATCCTTTAGGAGGTGGATTTTACTGCCCACTCCAAGGGCTGCATGCAGTGACTTTCTTCTAGAGAGTTCAGCGTGGAAAGCGGGGACACAGGGTAACCTTAGCGAGGAAACCTGCCAAGGGAGGGGTTCTTCCCGCTGCTCCCTGGCAAGCCGAGAGTAGGAAACACACCTCCACCTGCATTTGGAACCAAGGAAGCCTTTTGGGGTCCAGAAGTCAGGGTACACGTTTGACAGAAGGAGACTATTCCAAGGCAGGTTCCAGAAGGCCCAGAGAATGTTGTCAAGGCATTTTGGAGCCAGCCTCTCTTCCCACCCTTTGCCTGTTTCTTCCTGCCCTGGGGTCATTCTCTCCTCTCCATCGCTGACTTAGAAGGCGTTCCCCCCACCGTTGTCCCTCCCCAGGCTGCCCCGGGTTCAGGGACCAGGAGCACAGGGCTCCCTGCTGCCCGCTGGCTCCTCTGGCCCGCCCTGATCTCGCCCCCGCTGGCCTGTCTTTATCTGTCTCACCAGTGCCACTCATCACTGTAAGTCTGTAAGTTGTTTGAGGACAAGGACTCTTTCCATATCCCCACCCTAGCCAGGAGACCCACATTTCCTGAAGTAAGGAGGAGGAAATACAGACTTGAAGAGCCCAAGAGTGCTGATGGAGCTGAACGTTCACGATCAGTTCACGATCACCACTGCCTTGCAAACCCCAGGCCCCGGAGCTCCACTCTACCTGCTGCTCTTGAGGCTGTGATCCACCGAGCTAGACCTGCGGGCCCAGGGCACCGACCCGCCTTCTCCCTCTGAGTTGTGAACTCTCCTTGCATTCTCTTTCAGGCCAGAGAAAGCCCACCACAGCACCCTGCCACAGAAACTGGTCCTAGACAGCAGCTGAGTACAGGGGCTAAAAATAGAGGCCTTAGAGTCACAGCGATCTGAGTTCAAATCCTGGCCTCCTGTCTTCCAGCTGTGTGGCCTTGGGCATGTTACTTAACCTCTCTGAACCTCAGATTTCTTGCCTATGAGGCAGGAATAATTCCTCTTCCCAGGAGGTTGTTGTGCAGCTGTACGCCAAGTGCTTGGCATAGTGCCTGGCCCACAGTAGGTGCTCAGGGAATAGCAAAGCCTCCCTCCAATCACACACTCTCTACCCATCGTCCCCTTCTGCTGCTGCTTCTCCCCTTGGCCATAGAGAGTCCTAACTTTTGTTTGCTTTTCTGGTACACACCCAGTGGCTATCTCGGGCCAATACGTGTGCTGAACCCTACCTGGGGGTCCTGGAAGGGGTGACTTTGGACTTGGCTCAGAGGTGAGGAGTGCGGGAACTGGACACACTGCTCCTTTCTGCCTGGTGGGTGTGCCTTGCAGCCGTCCTGCCTGTGCCCACCAGTGGGAAGCAATCCCTGACCTCCCCTGAGCTGGCCCCCCGGCCTCCACCCTGGCCCCGGCATTTGGGAGGCAGCCATGGAGGGCCAAGGCTGACAGGGCCTGGCCCCGTGTACACAGCCAGGCTGGAGCCTGTCAGGGGCCTCCTATGTATGTGTGTTCCAGAGGGGCAGGGGTCCTGGGCCTCCCAGGTGGCCGCGCCTCCTGGCTGTGGCGCCATGTGCCAGGCAGCGTGTGCAGTCTGGCTGGGCATGGCAGCCCTGTCCAGCCACCGCCCTGGCCTGTGCAAAGCCTCCAGGAAGCTCTAGCTGAAGCAAAGCCACTCGAGTTCCTGCCCAAGGGCTGGGGACAGTAGCAGTTGGGCAGGTGAGCATGCTAGGATCCCAGAGGACTGGACCAGGGGACTGGGAATGGCAGGGCCAACCCTATCTTCCTTTTAACGGAGGAGAAAACGGGTAAAATAGAAGCACTTTATTTTTATTATCCTTATTTAGTATAAGAAAAGACCAAACTATTTCTCACCACTGAACCCAGTTCCTATCACAGCCTCAAAACTATTCATTCCTTCTTTACCTTAGGCTTTCTTTTTGGGGTCATTTTCCATCTCTGCAGTGTCTTTAGTGGGGTGTCTGTAACTCTCTTGGTTTCTGTTTATTTGCTATCTTCATTTTAGCATCATCCTTAAAAGATGGTTCTGCTGGGTATAGGATTCTAGGTTGGTGGCTTCTTTGTCACGGTGCTTTGGTAGTGTTAATTTAGTGTCTTCCATTGCTGAAAATTGACTCTCAACCCAGTGGCTCTTGCTCAGCGAGTGAGCCATGCTTGCTTTCTTGCTGCCCGTGAGATTTCGTCTCTGACTGAGAGACGTGGTCACTGTTTGTCCCCAGGAAGGGAGCAGACATGCTCAGTGACACTTCAAGGGGCAGAGGTGGATGGGAAGGTTGGATGAGGCTACTGGCCCAGAAGAGGTTTCTGGCTGCTGTGAGTTCCTCACGGCGGGGGGCAGGTGAGCACTGGCTAGGAGGAAATTCCCTGCCAGATGGGGAATAAATGCCATAAACTGGGTAGCATATAAACAACAGAAATTTATTTCTCACAGTGCTGGAGACTGGGAAGTCCAAGCTCAAGCGGCTGGCAGATTTGGTGTCTGGTGAGAGGCCCCTTTCTGGCTCATAGATGGTGCCTTCCCACTGCGTTGGAGCATGGTAGAAAGGGTGAGGGTCTCTCTGGGGCCTCTTTTATAAGAGCACGGATTCCATTCAGGAGTGCTCTGCCCCAAGGCCCTGTCTCCTCATACCATCGCCTGGAGGGTTAGGTTTCAACACAGGAATTTGGGGGGCACACAGACATCAGACCAAGGCTATTGGTCTCAGTTACTTTGATTGCCAACGACCCCAGGGTTCTCTTGGCAGCTCCATGTGGCTTGCCTTCCTCTTGCCTGCTCAAACCTCTGCCATCTCTCCCTAAGGGCTCTAAGCTTCTTGGCCAGGGACCATCCCAGCTCCTCCAGTGAGACATCCCTGAGCCCTCCTGCCACGTGCGGACGCCCCTTTTTCTCCAGATCCTGGGGTGTGGCGTGTGGGGTCTGTGCTGCAGAGCTCGGTGCACCAGTCACCTGAACCTGGGTCTCCAGGTCACTTCTCAGTGCTGAGTGGTCTCTCTAGGTGGCATGTCCCTTTCCACTTGCTTAGCCTTTGCATGTGGGCCAGTTACCTGGGAGTGGGAGGTGCACCAGGAGGTCCCACCCAGCCCCAACCAGTGTGGGCCAGTTGGGCTCGGCTCAGTTCTGCCTCCTGCCCAGAAAGGCAGCAGCCCCCAGTCCCACTGTGAAGACCCCCAACATCCTGGGCTGGAGATGGCAGCCATGGACGCAAGGGGCATTGGAGGCCTTGATGGGTAGATTTGGCCAATTGAGTGAGGGACAGAAGTGAGTAAGATGGCAGAATTCCAGCAGCGGTCTGCACGGTCCACCCTGCAGGTGAGATGTGGGGGGGATGACAGCAGTCTGGGGTACTTCCAAATGCCCAGGGGCCCCAGCAGATGCCACCACCCAAATGCCCCAGTGACTCCTCTCTTCCTCCGCCCCCAGGATGAACGGTAGGCTCACATGTGTATGCGTGGGGTACAGATGTGGCTGTGCAGCGTGTGCATTGCCTGTTGCTGTCCTTGGTCGGTCACAGCACACATCAGGGAGGTCTGTAACCCTGGCCACACCCCAGTAGGTCGTGTTCTGGTGTTGGAGGGGCAGGGAAGTCAGGGCTATTTAAGGGTCATTTCTATTGCATGATCATCGATGATCATTTCAATGACTGGCAAAGAATGCTTAGGTAGGAATTCCACTGGGGAGTATGCATTTGTGACTGACTGCCCGACCCCTCCATCCCACGGTCCCTCCTAAGATAAGTCCGGGGTGTGTGGGTTGAAGAGGACATTGTGCATTGGAGCATTTTGCTCCCATGAAACCTTTGCTCCCGCTGGGGAGGCGGGGCTAGGGGTGGGAAGGAGGACTGTCGTCATTCCTGTGGTGGGGTGCTGGCCGGGAGCCGTTTTCCCACAGCGGGTTCTGGTCTTTGGTCTTGCTCCTCAATTGGATCCAGACACGGCGCCAGGGAGGCCCGTGGCGGGAGCCCGATGCTGGCCGCTCTGAGCCTGCCCATTCATGAACCGGGGCAGCTGCCAGTTCTGGGCGCCGGGGAGGGTGGTTGGGGCTGGGGCTCCGTGGTGCACGTGGCTCCTGCTGCCGCGGCTCTGTGCCCACAGCCTGGCTCCGTCCTTGGCTGGCCCGGGGCCGGGGGTGGTGTCAGCACGGGAGCGTGTCTGCGCTTCCTCTCCTGGCTCTCCCCTTTTGTGGGACTGTCACGCTTGTGTGGTTGGAAGTGCTGTTCCTCTCCACGCGGTGGACAGCAGTCCCTTTGTGAGTTGTGGGCTGGTTCCTCTGTTTATGAGTGGAAGAGGACTGGTGGCTGAAGTGCACGGGGAGAGGGGAGTGGTGGGAAGAAGAGCATGGAGCGCCATCCCGGCTCCTGGGAAGCCGTGCGGGCAGGAGTCCGAGGCCGGGTTCCACTGCTGTCTGCGTCGCTGACCACTGACCGTGCCTCTGGGCCTCTGTGCCGTGTGTGGTGCACTCGCAGTTCCCACGTGTGCATCCGTGCCAGCCCTGTGACAGCCATCGTTATCCCCAGTCTGCAGAAAAAGAGACAGAGGTTCTTTTTTTTTTTTTTTTTTTGAGACAGAATCTCGCTTTGTTGCTCAGGCTAGAGTGAGTGCCGTGGCGTCAGCCTAGCTCACAGCAACCTCAAACTCCTGGGCTCAAGCGATCCTTCTGTCTCAGCCTCCCAAGTAGCTGGGACTACAGGCATGTGCCACCATGCCCGGCTAATTTTTTCTATATATATTAGTTGGCCAATTAGTTTCTTTCTATTTATAGTAGAGACGGGGTCTCGCTCTTGCTCAGGCTGGTTTTGAACTCCTGACCTCGAGCAATCCGCCCGCCTCGGCCTCCCAGAGAGCTAGGATTACAGGCGTGAGCCACCGCGCCCGGCCAAGAGACAGAGGTTCTTAAGGCTTACCTGCTGTGCCTTAAGCCCCCCAGCTCATAAGGGGTAGAGCTGAGATTTGAACCCAGGACTCCCGGTAGCTGCATTGCTTCACCATTGCTATGCACTAACACTGACTTGCTGAGCAAGTCATTCTCTTTTTGGGCAAGTTACTGCTAAGTCTTTCAAGGTCCAACTAGGGGATTAGTTACATAAGCGATGGCCCACCACATGCAGACATTGGAAATTATGCTTTTAAATACACAGAATATTATTCCACAAAACAAGCAAAATGCAAATAGTTTATTCAATATGATTCCAATTTTGTAATATAAGACACATGCATGTATACACAGGTGGCAGGAAGCATGTTAGCTGTGGTTATTTTATATCTGGCTAATAGTAATGTGGGTGATTTAATTTTCTTCTCTTTTTTTTTGTAATTTTCAATTTTTTTTACAGTGAAATGTTTTACATTCAGAAAACAAAGTTATTTAATACAAAAAAGCTGGAGCGTCCAATGGGACAACTCAGGAGTTGGGCGTCCTCAAGAGAGAGAGTGAGCTCCCCGTCCTTGGGGGTGGACAAGCAGAGGCCGAGTACCTACCTCCCATGGACACTGTCCAGGGACTTCTAGAGCAGAGCAGCAGAGAGGACTGTGTAAGGTTCCTGGGCCTGTGAGAGGAAGGGACCATCTAAAGCTCCCAAACTTGACTATGCACAAGATCACCCGGGCATCTTGTTCAAATGCAGATCCAGATTCTGGAGGCCTGGGTGGGGCCTGAGACTCTGCATTTCTAACAAGCTCCCGGGTGCTGCTGCTGCTCCAAGGGCCCTGAGCACGTTTCCCCCGATTTAGCCCTGGAGAAGTGCGCCCTGCCGCCTCCCCACTGCCAGGGCACTCTGGGGCAGACATCTCTCAGTGGTGACTGGAAAGGTACACAGGGATGTTAGGATGAGTGGCCTGAGCTTCCCTGGTCTGGGCGTCATTTCTGGAAGAGACGCTTCAGAGGCGTGGAAAGGTGAGAGCCTTGGTCAGAGTTGCGGGGCTGGAATCCCAGCTCTGTGGCTTGGTAGCCGTGTGTGCTTGGGCAAGTCATTTTGCCGCTCTCAGCCGGTTTCTCCATCTGCAGAGAAGGGACCAGAATGCCTGCCTGGTAAGGCCACGGTGGGGCTGGAGCAGGTGCCATATGTGAGGTACCAGCCCAGTCCCTGGCACTGGCCGGCCGGTGCTGGGTGTCCGCGTCCCCTTACACTGCAGTCTCTTGCAGGTGGACGAGGTCTACCACGACGAGTCCCTGGGCGCCCACATCAACATTGCCCTTGTCCGCTTGATCATGGTCGGCTACCGCCAGGTAAACCCCGCGTCCGCAGGCAGGGGCTGGAGGGGGAAGGGCGGCGGGGCCAGACCACTGGGCCAGCTCTGTGTGGGCGGGAGGGACAAGCGTGCAGGAAACTCTGTGTCCAGTATCAGAGCCCCGAAGCCACTAGCATGGCAGCCTCAGTGGTGGAGGCCTGTGGGGGTGGGAAGCAGGGCCTTACGGGGTCGCTCGAGGCGAGGAGCTGATGATCCTGCACCTGTGGCCGGGACAGAAGAGGGACAACAGGGCTGAGCGTGGGGCGAGTCCTGTGGTAGTTGAACCCAGTGCCCCAGGCTCTGCGATCTTAGATCAATGCGCCTCTTATTTTCCCCCAAATGGGGGAAACAATGGAACTTTCCTCTAAGGGCTGTTGTGATAATTAAATAAGACAATGAACATGAAGTATAGAGGGGTGCCCACACAGCATCTGCCCTGCAGGTTAGCAGAGGGGACTGGCGGTCGTGGGGGTCATCTCCTCCCAGCGTCTGGGCTCTGTGCTGGGCATGTGCGCATTCCCTGCAGCAGGGAGTGGGGACAGCCGAAGACCACGGGATGTGTACCCCAGTCCCCTGGGCCTTGGCGTTCCCACGCGTGTGTGGAAAGAGAGAGGCCCCTGGGTCCTGGGCTCTGACCTCCTCTCGGCCCCCGCAGTCCCTGAGCCTGATCGAGCGTGGGAACCCCTCGCGCAGCCTGGAGCAGGTGTGTCGCTGGGCGCACTCCCAGCAGCGCCAGGACCCCGGCCACGCAGAGCACCACGACCACGTTGTCTTCCTCACACGGCAGAACTTTGGGCCCTCAGGTATGCAAGGTACTGTATTTGCCGGGTGTGTGCGTCCTGCGGGGCGGAGGCCCGGGCTGGCCTGGAGCCGGACGGGCTCTCTCTGGGGAGGTTTGGAGGGTTGGGACCTGGGTGAACAGGTGGGCATGACTTCTTCGGAATGATTTCTTGGGGACCAGGGGAAGTAAAGGGGTCCCCACTGGCTCGGTCAGGCTGCTGTGAGTGGTCAGGCCGAGCCCTGTGCTTGCCGTCCCAGAGCTCAGCTGCCTGAAGACCCTCGGCGGTTTCCAAGGTGCTTCCGCCCACACTGTGTCCCTCTGTCCGTGCGGCAGACTGTGGGAGCTTGTTTGTTACTGGCTGACTGACTGTGGGACTGGAGGAAGGCAGTGTCGAAGTAGAGTGCGTGCAGGCTGCACGAAATCTCACTGCCTGGTCCCGCGCGGGGCTGACGGACCCTGGGCAGCTGCAGGCCAGGAGGGAAGCCGTCCAGCCTCAGCATGGGGGGCAGCTTGGCCCGGATTCGCTCTGCTGGGTGGGACTTTGAGAGCACCCTTCTTCCTCCAGGGCCCTCTGGCACTGACCAGGTGGCCGGGCTGGGCCTTGCCTCTGGTGCCGTGACCTCCCTGCCCTCTCTCCCTCTCCCCGGCAGGGTACGCACCCGTCACTGGCATGTGCCACCCCCTGAGAAGCTGTGCCCTTAACCACGAGGATGGCTTCTCCTCGGCCTTCGTGGTGGCCCACGAGACTGGCCACGTGTAAGTGGCACCGGCAGGGTGGGCGGGGCTGTGGGCTGGGAGCTCGGAGGAGTTCTGTGGCTATGGGAGGCTTCGCCTCAGCTCAGGCCCCAGTCCCAGTGTCCTGGGAACTGCCAGAGGAACTGGCCTGTCCCCGAGCTGTGGCCTCCTGGGGCTGCCTGCGGAGGCCCCGCCCTGAGGGGGAGGGAGCCGAGGGGCCTGGGCAGCAACTCGGGGCTGCCTTAGGCTCGGCCTCCAAATCCCACGGCCACGGGACAGCAGGCGTGGCCCTGCCTTTGGGCAGGTCAGTAGCAGGGTGCCCATCACAGGCAGGGGCCTGCTGTCTCTGGGTGGTCTCCATCCCCGGGCTCCCTCTGTCCTGTCCACACCTGAGGCCCTCCTGAGACCCATCCCAGCCCACGCTGGTGCTCAGCACTCACTGGCCCTCGCTGACAGCCTCACTTAGGGCTCAGGGGTCGGGCCAGGCAGAGGACTGGCTTGCCCGATCCTAGGGCTTGGATTTTTGTTTCGGCCATGTTTATTTATTCATCCAACCAGTATTTCTTGAGCACCTACTGTGTGCCAGGCCCCGTCCTAGGGAGGGAGCTATGGTGGAGAACAGGGCAGAGAAGCCCTCAAGAAGCCAGGCACTGGGTGGAGACAAATGAGCCACTGTCCAGTGTCCCCAAAGGCAGGGCCAAGGGACACTATCACCCCTGTTGGATTTCATGCCAGCTCTGCTCCTGGTGGCAGGTGGGGCCTCCTTTCCGTACCTTAATCATGGGGGCCGACACCAGGGAAACTTCCGAGTCCACCCCTGGCCCCCCATTAGAGAGACAAGGTCAAGCTTAGGCTCCGTATGTCTGCCTAGTGGGCAAGGCCAGATGCAGCCACCTGGGAGTATTTAAGAGATGAGAATCATATTTAAGAAATTAGAATTTAATTTGGCATTAAATACTACGTGTAAAGGGCAAATGTTTCAGGGTAAACTGTCATAAGGTAAGTGCCTGCCACGAGCTCTGTGTCCATCCTGCGGGGTCTTGGAGAAGAAGCCTGAGAGATGGCACACAGAGGGGCTCAGTAAACAAGATGAATCGAATTGAGTGAGACCCCGTCTTTGCACCACCCCCTCCGCCTGGTGGGAAGACAGTGAACGGCTGCAAGTCGTTAATGGTGGGGCAGGTGGCCTCTGCCGTGGAGGGCAGCCCACAGGGCCGGTGTCCAAGTAGGGCCTGAGCTGGCCTTGGAAGCTGTGAGTTCATGGCTGGAGCTCTAGGAGGGGCAGGTGTTGAGAACAGCCGCTGCAAAGGCTTGGGGGCAGGATGAGCCTAATGCCACTGGGGGTAGCCTCCACTCAGCAGCCTTGGCCAGAGGGGGTTGATTCTCCCCTCTGAATGGCTGGGAAACTGAGGCCAGGGTCTCCTGCTGCTGGCTGGCCTGCCTGCCTTCTCAGGGGCGGGCTCCCCAGGGTGGCTCAGGGCCCCTCTGCCTTCCCGTTCCAGGCTCGGCATGGAGCACGACGGCCAGGGCAACGGCTGCGCGGACGAGACCAGCCTGGGCAGCGTCATGGCGCCCCTGGTGCAGGCTGCCTTCCACCGCTTCCACTGGTCCCGCTGCAGCAAACTGGAGCTCAGCCGCTACCTCCCGTAGGTCCCCTCCGCCCTCAGGGCTGGGACAGGGGAGCACACAGCCGGCCAGTCTGAGCAGAGGTCACATAGCTAGCTGGCTTCTCCCCCAAGTCAGCACCCCCAGCCCCTGACTCCCACCTGAACACCCCCATTAGCATCACAGGTGGGTTAGCCTAGTGTTTCCCGGTGTGCTCAGGTGACCACTTGCATAAATTCCAATTAAAAATGCAGATCCCTCAGTCCCACCGAAGATGGTGAGTTGGATTCTGCCCAGGTTGTGTCTAGGAATCTGGGTTTCCCAAGCACTGCAGGTAGTGCGTGCTGAAGACAAGGAACCCCTGGGCGGGGGTGGGTCCCTCTGTCTCCCCAAGGCCCCAGAGGGACAGGCACACCGAACACTGCTCCCTGCTCCCCCACCTCCTCACCCATCCCTGGCCCCAGCCCCGTGCACCCAACTCTGGCATGGCTGGTCAGCTCCAAGGTCTTCAGGGACGTTCAGGTACAGAATAGGTGTCAGACTCAGGAGCTCAAGGCCTGAGAAGGGGAGCAGAGTGGGTTTGGGAGACAGAGGTACAGTCACCAGCCTCGTGGGCAGCTGGCTGGGGCAGCCTGCCCGGTGTACGTCCTGCGTGGTGGGCTGACTGTTCCTCTCTCAGTGCAGAGGGAGCCCTCAAACTGTCCGTGAATCAAACCTTAGTCTTGGCCATAGTGTGTCTCTCTAAGGTGGGCAGAACTGACTCCCTAAGCCAGCTACAAGCTGAGCTCCTGACTGCAGTCCTGGGTGCCTTCGCCCCTGGCCGCCAAGAGAGCCCTCCCAGATCCAGCCACCGGGGAAGCGAGGTCCTGAGCGAGGGCAATGCTCGGGGCAGCCCGTCCTCCCAGGAAGGGATAGCTCTGGGCACAAGGTGGCAGGTGCAGGGTCCCACAGGCCTTCCCTGTTCGTTAGAACCCAGCCCCTGGGAGAGGCGAGTGTGGGGCTTCCTGCCACCGGCCTGCCTCACCCCCACCCCTTGCCTCCACGGACAGTTCCTACGACTGCCTCCTCGACGACCCCTTTGAGTCCACCTGGCCCCGGCCCCCAGAGCTGCCGGGGGTCGACTACTCAATGGACGAGCAGTGCCGCTTTGACTTCGGCAGCGGATACCAGACCTGCCTGGCGGTGAGAACCCACCCGGCCTCTGCCAGGCCAGGGTGCCAGGGCCGTGTCCTTCTGTGGCCCCGGCTGGTCATTCTCAGGGCACCTTCCGCAAAGCTGGCCAGTGGGCCCCCAGGCATGGTGCCAGCCACCATGGGGGATGCGGAGTGAAGCCCGGTGGGGGCAGGGGGGGCAGTGGCTAAGAATACCTCAGCCCTGGGAGAGATGGAGACGGTAGAACAGAGACCGTGGGCAGCTGGTAGGGTCCTGGCTGGGCTCCTTACCTGGGAAGGTCACCCAGAAGGGTCCTGGCTGGCTCCTTACCTGGGAAGCTCAGTTGGGAGGCCGGGAAGGTGTCACATGAGGTGTTGGGCCCTGGCCTGGCAGAGCAATAGTTCCCACACCCTCGAGGGGCTCAGCAGAACATTTTAGTGTAACTCCTCACCTAATACCTTTGCATGTCACCTGCATGTCACCTCTCTCCAGGGGGCGATTCCATGCCCCCTGCTGCCCAGGCCTGAGGACATAGATACAAGGGAGCACGACCCTGTCACTACCCTTCAGGACAGGGCAGGAGGAGACCCTTGAGCCTGGAGATGAGCTAGAGCCACCCAGGAGTGGACCCCGCAGCTCCTGACCAGGCCCAGGCTGAGATGTCAGAACATGGGACATCTCAGGGTAGGGGGCTTTCAGAAGGGGGCAGCCTTGGTGACTCAGGTGCTTCACGACCCTCATCCGGGAATGCAACCCCCTCCTCACCTCCGCAGAACCAGGAGGCCTTGTTTGGCACCACGAGGAGCCTCATTATGTGGTCACCTTCCCCACTGTCCAGGCCATGCTGGGACACGTGGTCTGACTGAGCCTTTGCAAGTGGAGGGTTGAGATGTGGATTTCAGGGACCAAGGGCTGTATTTATAGGACACTTGTCTGGCCGGTGGGGGGTGATGAGAGACCCACCCCCGGCGTGGCTGGGTGGCCAAGTTAGAGGGAGATGGAGTCTCACCCACATCTGGGTGCTGAGGGGTCTGGGCTAGAAAGTAGAATCCCCCCATATGCACAGGGTTCAGGGGGCACCATGGACCCAGACCTCCCCAGATCTTCAGACCCTAGTCCCAGCTCGGTGACAAAGTGGCTTCTGCAAAGGCAGAGAGTGAGGCTGGAGAGAGCAGGGCCCGGAGGCCACTGCACCTGAGGCAGGGTGGGGCTTGACGGGCTGAGTGCTCTGGCTGCCTTCCTGGCAGCCTCCGCCACGTCCTCCTCCTCCTTCTCTGTCACTGCCCTTTGCCCGTTGGGCAACATGTCGGAGCTGGAGAGCCAGTCCAGCCTGGTGAGCCCAGCTCTTTGCCACGCAGTTCAGGACCTTTGAGCCCTGCAAGCAGCTGTGGTGCAGCCACCCTGACAACCCGTACTTCTGCAAGACCAAGAAGGGGCCCCCACTGGATGGGACCGGGTGTGCACCAGGCAAGGTACCTGCGGGGTCTGCAGCGGGGAGGGAGTGGCCTTCCTGGGGTGCAGGGCACTCCTCACCAGCATGGGTGCAGGTCCAGGGAACCCCCTGTTTCCTCCCTCCAAGTCTATATGGTATGGGAGGCAGTGCTAAAGGACAGAGGGGAGCCCAGCGTGCAGGTGATGTGCGTGGAATCTTCCACGAACTCCCTCTTTCTTTTCTCCCTTTTCTCTTCCATGAACTCCCCCTTTCTTTGCCCCCCCCCCCAGTTGGCCAAGGTTAGTGTGATCTCATCGCCCATCCAGCAGGAATGCCTACTCCCTTTTTACAGATGGGAATAGTGAGGTGCAGACAGCTCAAGGAACTTATTGGGGTCACCCAGGGTGATTAGCAGAGAAGGGGCGAGGGGAAGGCTCCAGGTGTCCTGCCTACTCCCCACCCCCGCTGTCTCTGTTTCTCTCACACACGTGTTCTCCCCCCGCCCTTCACGTAGTTCCTGGTACGTGTTTGCTCCCTCATGCGTGCGTGGGTGCCGGGGCTTTGTTTGTCAGGGGCCCTGGTGTGGCGTCTGCTCTGTTGCTGGCCCTTGATCACTGTGTGTCTCTTGATGGAACGTCACCCACCTGCCAATGCCTGACCGCGCATCCCTCCCGCCCCCTGGGGTTGTTCTGAAGTTACTGAACCATGTCAAAGCAAGTGGGAGAGCTGGGAAGAAGCAAGGTGTTAAGAGAGGTGTTTAATTTTTTTTTTTTTTTTTTTTTGAGACAGGGTCTTGCTGGAGTGCAGTGGTGCAATCATAGTTCCCTGCGGCCTTGAACTCCTGCACTCAGGCGATCCCCCCCATCTCAGCCTCTTGCGTAGCTGGGACTACAGGTGGGCACCACCATGCCCAGCTAATTTTTTTAAAAAAATTTTTTGTAGATATGGGGTCTCACTTTGTTGCACAGGCTGGTCTTGAACCAGTGATCCTCCCATCTCAGCCTTGCAAAATGCTGGGATGACAGGCATGAACCTGGCCTCCAAGAGAGGTGATTATTTAGTACCAGTTGTAAGCCCAGCTGCTGAAGACCCACCCCCAGCCTGCCCTCTGCCCTCTGCCCTCTGCCCTCTGCCCTCTGCCCCAGCCAGGTTCTTTGGTTCACACCAGTCCTGCCGACCGTCTCTTGAGCTCCTCGCAGATGGGCGAGGCTTCCCATGGCCCTGTACAGCCCGTGGGCTCTATACCTGGCAGGCTCTTATCCGAGAGACTGGTCATACCTGCTCCAGCTGTTTCCACTTCTTAAGTTTTCCCAGGTGTTTTTGGAGTTCCAGGCCCTCCCCAGTCACAATTTCACATAAAAGTTAAACGGTGGTCTCTGGGAGGCCGAGGCGGGCGGATTGCTCGAGGTCAGGAGTTCGAAACCAGCCTGAGCAAGAGCGAGACCCCGTCTCAACTATAAATAGAAAGAAATTAATTGGCCAACTAATATATAGAGAAAAAATTAGCCGGGCATGGTAGCTCATGCCTGTAGTCCCAGCTACTTGGGAGGCTGAGGCAGTAGGATCACTTGAGCCCAGGAGTTTGAGGTTGCTGTGAGCTAGGCTGATGCCATGGCACTCACTCTAGCCTGGACAACAAAGCGAGACTCTGTCTCAAAAAAAAAAAAAAAAAAAAAAAGTTAAACGGTGGTTCTTGATTTCGGCTCTATGTTGGAATCATGTGGGGAGCTTTAAAAATCCCCAGCCCTAGAACAGGGAGTGACTACAAGTGGACACAGAGGGTCTTTTTGGGGTGGTGGAAGTGTTCCTAAATTGGACAGTGGTGATAGTTGCCCAATTCTGTGAATTTATGAACAATCCTTGAATTGTACACTTGAAATGAGTAAATTTTTTGGTATGTAAATTTACTTCATTGTAGCTTCTTCAAAAAATCCCCAGCCCTAAAGATTCTGACTCAGCTGGTCTGGGGTGAAGCCCAGGCATCTGGAGTTGGAAAATCTCCCTGGGTGATTCCATGGTTGAGAGCCACTGAGTTCATCTCTTGGGAAAGATCCAGAGAGCTTTTCCCTGTTTCTTATGTTACCCTACAGGAATGGAGGGGGTTGCCTTGAGCCACCCCTCCTTTGTTGTCTGGCCCTGTGCTGAGGCCTTTCTAGGTGTTACTGGCTTCAGTTCCTAGAATAGTCCCATTTAACAGGTGAGTAAACTGAGGCTTAGCAAGGTAAAGGAAACACACATAGCTAGTAACGGCAGAGCTGAGATTCAAACCCAGGCCTGACTTCATGCATACGCTCCCCTCACTGCACGGAACGACCTTCCCATAGGGCTGGCTTGCCTCCCAGGAACGCGTCTGCCCGTGGCCCCTGGAAGGTGATTTCGTGGTGCAGAGCCAAGACCAAGTCTAGGTAGTGTGGCAGATTGTGCTCCTCTCCCTATCAGCACTTTATTTCTCCCCGGGGTGATGAACTGAATAACTGCACATGTATTATTGTTAGTAATAATACTACCTGCCATTTCTGGAGGGCTGTGTGTGCCGGGCACTGTCTCACTGGGTGCCATGGGCAGGTGAAGTTATCCATGTGTCCAGCTGAGGAGTAGCCTCAGAGAGGTGACCCTGCGTCCAAGGTTGCTCAGCTCCAACCCCAGGCTCCTGCTCTTGCCATCCTGTTCTCTGGACTCCCCATGGCACCCACCAGCAGTGTGCCCGCCTGGGTACCCTCTAGGGCAGGCTTGGCAGCAGCGGCCCAGGGTGACCTCACGCCCTCTGCTCCACCCCAGTGGTGCTTCAAAGGTCACTGCATCTGGAAGTCGCCAGAGCAGACCTACGGCCAGGACGGAGGCTGGAGCTCCTGGACCAAGTTTGGGTCATGTTCAAGGTCATGTGGGGGCGGGGTGCGATCCCGCAGCCGGAGCTGCGACAACCCCCCGTGAGTATGCTTGCCTTGGGTGGGCAGGGCAGGGGACCCCCTCCTAGGGCCGAGGGGCTTGGAGGGGAAGGCACTGGGGAGAGGGGGTGCAGGAGAGAAGGGCCCCTGGGGTGGTTGTACATGCAATGGAGGAGGACCCAAAATTGTTGGGGGGCAGATAGCTCCCACCTACATTCACTGATGACCCATTAGATCCAACTTCTGTGTGTGTGTCTGAACCGGTGATTCTCAAATCCTCGTGTGCAGAAGGTTCCCTGGAGTCTGTGTGGGCCAAGGTTCTGCCAAGCCCTCGCAGGACCCTGGTCCTCTGGCTAAACTGGAAAAAACTGTGATCTAAACCCATTGCACATGTCTTCAGAGAATAAATTCCCCCAAGTTTCTTTTCTACCACATGGAGCAAATCTTCCCCTGATTTTTCTAAACTTAACCTCTTTGTAAAATGAAACCTCCTCTCCCAAATTTCGGCACTGTTGGAGAGACATCCATTTCTCCCTTCTCATCTCCTCTGCGGGATCCCTCCCCTACTCCTTGGTTTTGGGACTTCTAAAGATTGCCTCCAGTTCTCCATGGCCTCCACCTTCCCAAGCTGAAGCAGCCTGCTTAGAACAGTGTCCTGAGAGGTGGGGACAGGCCAGGGCTGGCGTGTGGCTCGCCTGGCTGTAGGAACACAGGGGTCCCAAACCTCCACATGGACAGGGCCTGGCCTCACTTTCGTGGCACTGAGTGGTGTGACACATACTGCAGAATTGCAAGGTCTCAGGATCTCCGTGGCCCGAGCATCCTCAGGAGTGTCATTCATACCTCCAGGGATGTGAGGCTCACTACCTATCGAAGCGGCCTGTTCTGCTGTCAGATGGCTATATTGACCTGTTACGAACGTGAGCCAAATGGACTGCCTTGTAACGCCCATCTGTCGGGGATCTAGAAGCTGGGCTTATGCAAAGGCCCAGCGGTCCCTGCTCTGAGTGAACCACCTTGCAGGCATGAGTGAGAGTTTTCCCCGTGATCAGAGCTACCATTTATGGAGCTCCTCTGACATGGCAACTATTTTTATTTTATGAGTCTTAAATGAAATAATGTGTGTGCTCTCAGCACCATGCCAGCACAGATTAAGCACTTAGCAGATGACAGCTGTTGTTATAATTATTACAATGACATTGTATTGTGTACTTTCTCTGTGCTGGCGGGGTGCTGAGCCCGTAGGTGCAGGGGTCTGTGTGGTTCTCCTGCGGCTCTGTGAGGAGGGCGCTGCTGGCCTCATGCACCCGGACACTTTCTAGCAATACTGTGAGGCAATCCTCTTGGCTTACAAGAGAAGAGAATATCGATTCCATTACTCCTTTTCTTGTTATTCCTCACAGATATACCGAGAAGCAGGTAAAATCACAGGGATTATGGTCCCTCTCTTCAAGGGGAAATTAAGGCACAGCCAGGGACCTGGCCAAGGTTGCATAGTGGGGGCAGGAATCTGGCTCTTCTGATTCCAAATCCGTGTTTCTTTTCCCACGCCTTAGTTTAGTATGGTATTAAATGGAAGTGGATGCGAATAGCAGTAGGTGAGTCACTTATTGAGTGCCTACTGTGTGCCAGGTTCACTTGAAGGGCTGTGCAAAGGTGAGCAAGACTGATTTGTCTTTTGGGCCAGTTGGAGAGGGTTGGCCATTCCCCGTGTCTGTCCGTCTGTCTGTCTCATACACTCACACACCCACACACAGCGGAGTAGTGGTATGTGTCTGAAGGTGGGGCAGCCAGGGAGGAAGAGGGCTCTGGGAGGCTGAGCTCAGCAGCCCCGGCCCCGGCGTGCAGGTTAGCGGTGGCCGTCGTCACGCTGCAGTGAGGGCTGAGCCGTGGCCGTGGGGGAGCCTGGCCCTCCCTAGCACTCCCAGCCAGCACGGTCACCCCTGTGTCTCTGCCTGTCCCAGCCCAGCCTACGGAGGCCACCCGTGCGCAGGGCCCACGTTCGAGTACCAGGTGTGCAACAGCGAGGAGTGCCCCGGGCCCTACGAGGACTTCCGGGCCCAGCAGTGTGCCAAGCGCAACTCCTACTACACCCACCAGAACGCCAAGCACAGCTGGGTCCCCTACGAGCCTGAGGACGGTGAGCGGGCCCTGCCCCCCTTCCCTCCCCGAGTCCTTGGGCAGCTGCCGGGGCTGTGTGTGCCCAGGCAGGACCTCCCCTGTCTGCGCCTGCCAGCGAAGGTGAGGGACAGTGGGGGTGCCAGAAGGGACATACCCTGTTCAGGCCTGCACATTGCACATCTCTGGGGCCACTGTCCCCATCAAGGCCACCTCTGGTTTGTGTACTTATGATGACAATTTTCTGGCAGATGCAATAAAGTGTCTTGAGGAAGGGGCTCTTCACCCAGAGGTGCTGCGGGGGCCAGCAGCGGTGTTGGCTTTTAAGGTTGGCCACCTTTCAGACACCTGTCCTTACCTGCACAGAAATGAACTGTACAGGTGTGGGCGACCTTCGCTTTACATGACCAGTGTCCTGAGAAGCTCAGTGCTATCAATGCCATGTTTTTAGGTTTTTCTGCCTAGGTTGCTATTTCAGCAGTCACTGAGGGTGATTTTGAAAGGCAGGCATGGGGGGGGGAGCCTGTGGGACCCTCCCACTGACCACTCCAGCCCGCCCTGGGATAGACACGGGCCACAGGGCTCAGTCAGAAGGTCTGAATTTGGGGACCACGCTGGTGCCAGTTCCCGTATGTTTTCAAGCATGTCCAGTGATGGCTCCCGGGGCAGCAGTGCGTCCGGCAAAGGGCTGGGACTCATGGTGTCTTAGAGCCTCAGGCTGGAAGGGCCCCAACAGTCCTCTGACCCCACCTGTCTCCTATCTGCCTCCGTGTGACCCTCCATGGACAGACGCTCACTCCCTACCATACAGCCCTCGGCCCCTTTGCACCCGTTATGGTGGCCTTTCCTCCGCTGAGCCTGGGGTTGGCCCCAGGACCCTAAGCTCTTCAGCTCATGTTTAGAATGACAGAGTCATCATGTTGGAAGGGATCTCAGAGGCCTGTCATTGCCAGACCCACCCCCAGAGTATCCCTGCAGGGGGGTGTCTTATCTCTGCTTGGATTCTTCCCACGCTGGGGAGCTCACCACTGCCTTGCCCTGTTGGCTGCCAGAGCCCTGCCTGCCTGGGCGCGCCGGGCAGGAGCCTGCCTGTCTTCTGGAGGGTGGAACCACTGCCAGGCCGAGGTCCCACTAGGAATCTGGCTCCGTGCGTGAGATCCAAGGTGATCCTGCAGGTTGTGGCTCTGGATTTCAATCCTGCGTGCTGGAGGCAAGGAGTCAGCAGCTGTCCTGGGGGCCCAGGCACCAGGAGCAGGGAGCCAGACAGGCCCCTTAGAAACTGGCTGAGGGAGGCTTGCTTTGAAAGCCTTCCAGATCTGTTCAGAAAGCAAAGGAGCAAACACAGTGTGGGCAGGGGAGTGGTTGGGAGACCTATGGGATAACTGGACTTTGGGCTTTTCCCAGGACTCTTAGACAAATTCCAGGAAATTAGCTAAGCCCCCAACCTCCCTGTTTCTCAGAAGCACAGTAAGTGTTTATATGTTCTCTGGAACCTCCTTATTAGGACATCTATAGCCCAGATAGAGAAGAAATCGTTTGTTAGAACCAGAAAGGACCCCTTCCCTCTCTGACTGCTGTTCCATTTTGCAAACCAGGAGACCACTGTTCTGCCTTTCTTTCATGCAGCCTTCTAATGTTTGTGAAATGTTAAAGTACACCGTCATGCATGTGCCCAGGGAACTGGTGTAGAGGTCAGAACAGGGCTAAAGCCGGACTGCCTGGATTAGAATCCTGGCTGAACTACTTGCTGTAAGGCTGTGCAGCCTTGAACAAGTTCCTTAACCTCTCTGGTCCTCAGTTTCCTCCTCTGTAATGCTAGAACCTACTTCATTGGGATGTTGAGAGGGTTAAATATGTAAATTCACATGAAAAGCATTTAAAGTTGTATTTTAAGGGTGTATAAAGGTTTTAGAAATAGTTGATGCCTAGTAAGCACTCACTAATTGTTGGCTTATTGTTATTATTTTATCACTTGATTTTTTTCAATTACCTGATGTGGCATTTCACTGATCAGGCGTAATAAAAATAGAGAACCGAAGCTCAGAGAGGTCAGATCATTTGCCCAAGGTCACACAGCTGATCATAAGTGACACAGCAGGGATTTTAAGCCCCTACTCCACACCCACTGCTCCCGTGCTGCCCAAAGCTGGCCCCGGGGCTTCCTGGCCAGCCCACTTGCTCCGAGCCTAGCTGGGGGCTTAGCGTGGTCCCTCTCCCCACAGATGCCCAGAAATGCGAGCTGATCTGCCAGTCGGCAGACACGGGGGACGTGGTATTCATGAATCAGGTGGTCCACGACGGGACACGCTGCAGCTACCGGGACCCGTACAGCGTCTGTGCCCGCGGCGAGTGTGTGGTGGGTGCCCCTCCGGGCTGCCCACCCCCTGCTGGCACAGGGAGACCGAGGGGGGCTGTGCCGTGGCCCCTCCTGCCCCCGGGAAGACAAGCATTGCCTCACCTGCCCCACTCATGACATGCTTTGGCCCTCAACATGGCCTTGCCGCCCAGCCCCGTTGAGGAGAGAGGAGAGGGCAAGAATCCTTACCGCGCCAGGTTTAAGGCCTCACCCAGGTCACATGGCAGATTCGTGCCAGGGCCCGGCCAGGGACACCTCTTGGGCCAGGCTTCCTCTCCCGGCCAGGGCCCGGGGAAGGGCCAGGGGCAGGGGCTGCTGCCTGGGGTAGCGGTGGGAGTAGGGGAACCTCCTCCCACTGACCTCCCCTCTGGTCTCAGCCTGTCGGCTGTGACAAGGAGGTGGGGTCCATGAAGGCCGATGACAAGTGCGGAGTCTGTGGCGGTGACAACTCACACTGCAGGACCGTGAAGGGGACACTGGGCAAGGCCTCCAAGCAGGCAGGTGAGCTGGGTGGGCTGGGGCAATGGGGGGTGACTGGGGTCCTGGCCACCCCTTCCTCCTTGAACTGAGCCATGGCCCAGGGCAGGGGGAGGGGCCCTGGAGCCTGACTTCCAGACCTTCCTGGGCTGCCCAGGGCTGCTGAGCCGCTGGTCACATCATCTCCTGGGCATGCTGCTGCTGGAGTTTGTGGCCAAGAAGCTCCAAGAAGCATTTTTCTGCCAGGCAATGTGATAAGATGAGAGCTCAGCCATCTCTTTGGCTCTAAGGCTCTTACTGGGGGGGAGGGGTCAGACAGAGCTGAAATGGTATCCAAGACTGGACTGATAATTTTCTTTTCCTCTCTTACATTTTTTTGTAAACCTGTGACACCTCTTACTTTGAACTCCTAGGATCTTTGAGTTCCTTGATTTTCATCTCCACCTCAAATCTGACCAAATTTGCTGGAGAAAAGGGCCAGATTATTAGTCCTTTACACTTTAGTATGAACTGGATGTATTTCTCCTTTGGGATATTGCAGTTGTGCCTCGCCTTTCATTGTGAAGGGGGAAGGTTGGTGCCTCCAAGAAAGGCTTGTTTTCAGGCCTTGGAAAGGGATGGCCATGGGGGCTGAGGACAGTCTTGTGGGATCTTCATGGCCTGTTTCATCTAAATTGCTTCAGTAGCAAGTAGCTTAAGGCATGGGAAGAAAGAAGAGGAGAGAAAGCCAGAGGAGCAGACAGGAGATGAAGGGGTAGAAGTGAGAGAAGAAGAGGGTCACAGAAGTGGGAAATAATAGTGACTCTCACATGCACAGAGGCTCTTAAAAGTTACAGGGCACGTTAAGCTAGAGCATGTCATTTGATCCTCCCAGCACCCCACGGGGAAGGTCCCATCCCTAGTTTACAAATGAGGAGACAGAGGTTTGGAGAGGTGCAGTGATCAAATGGGATGTTCCTGGGTACCCGGTGGGGAGTGGGGGGTGCTGGCAGTGGGGCCTCCAGCTCGGGATGCTCACTGCTCTTCCGGATCCTGTGTGGCAGCAGCCAAACTGGTGCAGATCCCGGCGGGTGCCAGGCATATCCAGATTGAGGCCCTGGAGAAGGCTCCCCGCCACATTGGTGAGTGCTGGGGTATGGGGAGAGGGCAGCAGGGCCTGGCCATGGCCCCCGATTTGGGGGAGCCAGGTGAGCAGAGGGCGAGATTCTAGTGTAGGGGGAATTTCACAAACTTAAATAATGGATAGAGAACCCCTTTTTCTTTCCTTTCCTTTCCTTTCCTTTCCTTTCCTTTCCTTTCCTTTCCTTTCCTTTCCTTTCCTTTCCTTCCCTTTCCCTTTCCCTTTCCCTTTCCCTTTCCCTTTCCTTCCTCCCTTGCTTCCTTCCTGTTCTGCCTTCCTTCCTTCCTTCCTTCCTCCTTCCTGTCCTTCTCTTCCTCCTCTCTCCTCTCTCTCTCTCTCGCCTCTCTCTCCCCCTCTCCCTCTCCCTCTCCCTCTCCTCTCTCTCTCTCTCTCTTTCTTTTTGAGATAGCATCTTTCACTGTTGCCTGGGCTAGAGTGCAGTGGCCCAATCATAGCTTGCTATAACCTTGAACTCCTGGGATTAGCTTCCTGAATAGCTAGGACTATAGGTGCATGCTACCATGCCCAGCTAACTTTTTCTGTTTTTTGTAGAGATAGGGTCTCACTATGTTGCCCAGGTTGGTCTTAAACTCCTGGACTCAAGGGATCCTCTCAGCATCCCAAAGTGCTGGGATGTAAGTCACCATGCCTAGCCTAATTTATTTTCTAATTTGCATTGAGTAGGTAACCCATTCCATGGTTTGAATATCAGAATGTCTAAAAGGGGTAAAGAGTCCCTTTTCTACTCTTGTCCCCTGGGGGCAACCACAGTTAATAATTTCTTGTGCACACAGATGGCTTTTAAAGGTAAACCATTTTTATAGAGTGTACCAGTCAGCTTTCACAGTGTAACATGCCACCCCAAAACTTAGTGGCTTCAAACAATTGTTCATTAACTCCTGGGTCTTTGGGTCATCAGTTTGGGCTGGGCTCTGCTAGTCAGTTCTTCTGCTCATCTGCCTGGATGGACTCATGGCAGTGTTGTCAGTTGGTAGGTCTGTTGGGAGCTGTTGGTCTAGGATAGCCTAACTCACATGTCTGGTGGTTGGTACTGGCTGTCAGTTGGGGTTATGCAAGTAACAGGGCCATGTCCTCAACAGGGTAACATGGTGTTATTCACATGGTGTATGTCCTATTCCTCAAGAGTTGCAAGACAGGGCAAGCCCCAGTGTGTAAACACTTTTCAAGTCTCTGCTTGCATCATGTTTTCCAATGTTCGATTGGCCCAAGTCACAGGGCCAAGCCCAGATTCAAGGGGTAGAAGAGAGACAGTGTGTAGACCTGTTTTGAGTGAGAAGGGCTCAGGTGGGGAAGAGTGACAGGTAGACAGGGGAGTCCCAGGGGCCCACTGGGAAGGCCTTGAATGTCATATTCATGGCCCCCTGTGGAGAGGAGTAGAAATTGCTGTGACCCTCTCGCCCCACCGGCCAGTGGTGAAGAACCAGGTGACGGGCAGCTTCATCCTCAACCCCAAGGGCAAGGGAGCCACGAGCCGGACCTTCACCGCCATGGGCCTGGAGTGGGAGGACACAGTGGAGGACTCCAAGGAGAGCCTCAAGACCAGTGGGCCCCTACCCGAGGCCATCACTGTCCTGGTGAGCTACACTGCATGTGGTGGCCCCTGCCTGCTCCCTTGTCCCCCTAGCTGCCACCTCTGTCACTGAGCTGGCGGGGGCCTGGTGGAAACTACCTTTCTGGCAAGGCCAAGGCACCCCCTCCTTCCTGGGGTCAGCTCCTCTTCTGTGCTTAAAAGCTGGCAGGATGGCGAGTGAGGAGGGGAAAAGGAAAGGGTTGTCTCCTCGCTGTCAGACCCCAGACGCCACACACAGGGAGTCTATTCTCCTTAATGCAGGGTCAGAAGTGGGGACTGGTGGGAAGTGTCAGCAGGGGCAGGCTGGCTCCCCATGTCACCCTGGCACCATGGAGAGTCAGCACGTGTCATGGCATGGCCAGCAACTGAGTCCATGAGTGGCATCCTTAGGCCTTTTAAGGCAGCTGACCCGGTGTGCCCGCCTCCTGAGAAGAGGACAGGGCCACTGTCCTGGCTGGGGCCATCTCTACCCACACCTTACTTCCTAAACCATCAGCCAGGGCTTGCGGAGCTGGGATTGTTAACCCAGCAGACCGGACCACGAGGAGCTCCATATTTGGCCCTGGCTGTGGCAGGTTCTTGTGTCACCTTCACCAGTTGGGGAGGTCAGGCTGTGAGGCCCTGGAGGTCAGGCCGTGAGGCCTATTGGTGTCAGCATGTTAATTCAATCCAACCCATATTTTCCATTTGCCTTACATTTATTGACCACCCATGCATCCATGACCAGCTGATTTGAATACCAAGGCCATTTGTGGAGAAAAGACAGTCTCTCTTCAAGACACAGTCCTGGGACAATTGGATATAAACATGCAGAAGAATGAAGTTGGACCCCTACCTCACACCATCCGTAAAACTTAAATCAAAATAGATCAAATGCCTAAATATAAGAGCTAAAACCATAGAACTCATAGAAGAAAACAGAGGGGTAAATCTTTATGACCTTGGATTCTTAGCTGTGCACCAAATGAGAAAATAGGTAATTTAGACTTTATCAAGACTGAAAACTTTTATGCATGAGATGACATTATCAAAGTGAAGAGACCACGTGCAGGACAAGAGAAAAATCTTGCAAATCACGTCTCTGGTGAGGGCCCAGCACCAAGACTGTGCCCGTTGACCGTCCTGCAGAGCCAGGCCATGTGATGCTCTAGCATGTGGAACTGATTGGCAGGTGCAGCTCCTGCCCCCGTTAGAACTTAGGCCAGTGGAAGGGAAGGGTGTTCACAGGCCCACCGCTGCTCTCAGCAGGTGTTTAGCCTGAGTTTGTCACGTGGCCGCTGGTCTGAATGCTTCCCCCACCAGCCACGCTCGGCGCAACCTCATCCCAGCATTCCCTGGTTCTGCTCCGACCCCACAGCCTTCTCTAGCCCTCCTCCCTGCCCCACCCAGGCCTTACTTCTTTCTCCGGTCCTGTGCGGCCTCCTGCTTCCCCTCAGGTGCTCCCCCCAGCTGAGGGTGGCCCCCGCAGCAGCCTGGCCTACAAGTATGTCATCCATGAGGACCTGCTGCCCCTTATTGGGAGCAACAACGTGCTCCTGGAGGAGACGGACACCTACGAGTGGGCGCTCAAGAGCTGGGCGCCCTGCACCAAGGCCTGTGGGGGAGGTACTGGCTCTCCCGACCCCGCAGGGCCTCTCGAGCGGTGGGGATGGGGGGCTGAGATTTGATGGGAAACTGAGGCCCAGTGGGAGGCCACAGCTTTCCTTGGTAATCCGGGGGTCCATTTGACATGTCCTTGTTCATGCCTCAGTTTCTCTTTGGAGATCTCTAGTGTGTGGAAGCTGCTTTGGGCCGGGCACGTAGGATGGAGCTGGGGTGCTAGAGTGGTCCCCAGAGCAGGGCGTCTGCCCTATGAGCTCGCCCACCGTGGGGACAGGCCGCCATGCAGAGCCACTTCCCCACAGTGAGACGGGGCTGTCAGGAAGGTGTCCTGCAGCAAGCGATGGGCAGGTGGGCGCGCAGAGGCACACAGGGAGGTGGGAGCGGCCCTCAAGGCTCCCCCAGGACACCACCCCTGAGGCCCTGGCAGACCAGGCCCATGGCAGCCTGCCCTCCCACAGGGCTGCAGTTCACCAAATACGGCTGCCGGCGCAGACGTGACCACCACATGGTGCAGCGGCACCTGTGTGACCACAAGAAGAGGCCCAAGCCCATCCGCCGGCGCTGCAACCAGCACCCCTGCCCCCAGCCTGCGTGAGTGCTCCTGGGGAGGGACAAGGAGTTTGGTCCTGTGTGTTGTCCTGGCCCCTGGAGGAGGAGGAGGGCTGCTGAGCTGGCTTCTCCGAGCACCGGCTGGTGGAGACACGGCCCTGCAGCCAGGGCTCCCACCGGCCACCCTGCGTGCCCATCCATCAGAAAGAAGAGGCTTCTTTTTTCTGCTCTTGCCAGCATTCTTTTACAGCTGGGAAACTGAGGCCCAGTGTGGAGACACAGCTTTCCTCGGTAATCTGGGGGGGCCATAGAGGCAAGGTGGATTTCAGTGCTTCCGTGCTCTGGGTCCAGGCCAGGATGCTGTCCACCGCCTCCTCCCTGCCCGGTCCTCAGCAGGCCAGGGACCCCGCCTGGCCTGCCAGCCCTCGGCTGTGGTCCGGCCCCTGATTTTGATTCCCCGGCCTGGGGGCACACTCTGAGCACAAGGTCGTGTTTTGGCATTATGTGGAGAGAGCTGTGACTTGTGGAGGATTCAAGGTCAGGCCTTAAGCTGTTGCAGAGCCAGTGCCAGGACGTCCTCGGCCTCCACGAGGCTCCCCTGGCACCCCCGGGCAGGCCGAGGCTGAGAGTGGCTGGCCAGTAGGAAACCGCAGAGGGTCTCATTGATGTCCTGCTTCCCCGGGGTCCTCCCTGTGGGGACAGGTGCTGACTGGGCCCTGCCGACTGACAGCAGCTCCTGGGAGCCCCAGTCCTGGACATGGGACTGGGGACCAGAGCAGGAGCTGGTGGCCTCCCTGTGCCCAGACCAGGTGTCATAACCCACCCCTCCTCTGCCAGGACAGCTCCATAACCACCCTCGGGGCTTCTCTTTTGCGTGTTACTTTGTGCTGTTCCTCTCCTTTCTCCACCAATGTGTCTGACCATAGAGCGTGCGGGGTGAACTCCGCCCGAGATGCTGGGTGGGTGACCCCCACCCTGGGGTTTTGTTTTGGTTTCTGCAAGAAGGGGTTGAAAGAGCCCTGGTTTCTATCAGAGGCCTCGGGAAACCGACAGGGAGTAGGAGTTGGGGCGTCCCCTCCCTGCACCCCTACCAGAGCAGTTTTGTTTTTGTCTAACTCATCCAGCAGGTATCTGCTTAAGAGGCTGTTGGAAGTTTCTCTGTGGCTAAAAGACACTTGGCTGGCCACCAGTGTAGCAGCTCGGTGCTGAAGCTCTATGGGTGATGATGGTGACAGTAATAGTGCTCTTGTACCAAGAGCCCCATGGGAGGTTAGGGGATATACGATGAAAGTGTGGCTTTCGTTTGTCCCATGCACTGCACCCAGCACTCAGCACCCAGCACCCAGCACAGTACCTGCACACAGTAGGCAGACAAATATTTATGGGGCATTGAGACATCCTGATGTCAAGATGGGGTAACCATGGCTCAGAGGGGTTTCTAGCTTGCCCAAGGACAGCGTGGTGCCAGCATTTAAGTATGCATCGTACCTGTTTTTCAGGAAAGAGTAGTGACCTCCCTGAGGCCACACAGCCAGGTGGACAGTCGTCATGGGCCTCAAGTGTTCTGAAGTCCACACACACTCTCTGGCTCTCACCTGAAGCTGTCTAGGGGTGGGAGGTGGCCCCTGGGAGGAAGTGTCTCCTTGGTCTCACTTCCTTCCTCCTCACACCCTGTCTGTCTCCAGGTGGGTGACGGAAGAGTGGAGCCCCTGCAGCCGGAGCTGCGGGAAGCTGGGGGTGCAGGCTCGGGGGGTACAGTGCCTGCTGCCCCTCTCCAATGGCACCCGCAAAGCCATGCCAGCCAAGGCCTGCCCCGGGGACCGGCCTGAGGCTCGGCGGCCCTGCCTCCGTGTGCCCTGCCCAGCCCAGTGGCGGACAGGAGCCTGGTCCCAGGTGAGTTTTGTCTCCTGGAGGGGGGAGGGGTGTGGGGAGGAGTGTGGAAGGGGGGAGGGGGGAGAGTTGTGTCTCCTGGAGGAGGTGGGCCTGAGGGATTTTCTGGTGTTCCCTGCAGGCAGTTTCTTTCTTTTTTTTTTTTTTTTTGAGACAGAGTCTCTCTCTGCCCGGGCTAGAGTGCCATGGCATCAGCCTAACTCGTAGCAACCTCAAACTCCTGGGCTCAAGCCATCCTCCTGCCTCAGCCTACAGCTGGGACTACAGGCATGTGCCACCATGCCCGGCTTATTTTTTTCTATATATTTTTTTTTAGTTGGCCAATTAATTTCTTTCTATTTTTAGTAGAGAGAGGGTCTCACTCTTTGCTCAGGCTGGTCTCGAACTCCTGACCTTGAGTGATCTGCCCACCTCGGCCTCCCAGAGTGCTAGGATTACAGGTGTGAGCCACCATGCCCGGCCTAAGGCAGAGTTTCTGGCAGAATTTCTCTCCCCACATCTCATCTGGTTTTCCTCAAAACAAAGTTGAACAGCTCCCACGTACGCTGTGCTGCTGTGCCTGGTCTCCATGCCAGGCCTTTGCACCCACTCATTCACTGTCTCCTGCGAGCTCCCCCCAGTGATGGGAGGCATAGGTTAATGTCCCCGTGTCCCAGCTGAGCAGGATTCAAGCACATTCTTGCATTCAAGAAGTTTTTACTGAGCACCAGCTGTGTGCCACGCATTGTCCTGGGAATTCGGGAACCCAGCATCACCAGGCAGACCTGTCTTGCCCTTGGGCCCCTACAGTCCCATGAGGGGGGCGTAGTTGACAAGTCAGCCAACCACAGAAGTGTTCCCAGAGAACAGCTGGGGCTGTGTGGGAGTCCCCGGGGCAGCATGATCAAGGACAGAGGTGGTCAGGGAGGGCTTCTCTGAGGAGGTGTTGTTCAGGCTGACACCTGAGGGATGAGCCACAGGAGGAGACTGAGGCAGGAACAATTGTACAATGTTCCAGAAGCTTCGAGGACAGTGGGGCTAGAGTTACAGGGAGGATGATGTTGGAGAGGCTGCAGGGCTTTGCAAGGAGTTTAGATTTATCCTAAGCGCAATGGGAAACGATTGAAGAGTGATGCAAGTTCTGATTTCGGGTTTCAAAGACCACTGCGGCAGCTCTGTAGAAAGCTAATTGTGGGGAGGCCAGGGTAGGAAAGGGGAGACAGCAATGGGGCTGCAGAGTAATCCTGTGCTCTGTAGCTTGGGCTCTGGAGGTGGCCACAGGGGAATGTTTGCTGTCTTGGGTTTTCTCTTAAACACTCATTTGATGTGAACCTGGAAGATATGAAGCCAAGGGAAACAAGCCTCACACTGAGGACAAACACTGTGTGGTTCCACTTAGTATGAAGTACTTAACATAAAGTACTCAATATGGAGTACTTAGAGTAGTCTCACTCACAGAGGCAAAAGGTCAGATGGTGGTTGCCAGGGGCTGTAGAGGGGGCAGGGAATGGGGAGTTATTGTGTAATGGGTGAGGAGTTTCAGTTTGGAAAGAAGGAAAAATTCTGGAAATGACTGGTGGTGACGGTTGCACAACAATGCGAATGTACTTAACGCTACTGAACTGTGCGAGGAGAAGCGGTTAAGGTGGTGAACTTTGTTGTGCAGGTATTACCACAATTTTAAAAAACTCATTTGATCAAGGCCATCAGCACAATGATGTTTATTGTGATAGGAAAATATTCCGAACTATCCTAAATGTCCCCCTACAGGAGGTTGGACAAAGAAATCATGACGTGTTTATATGATGAAATACTGTACAGCAGGAAAAACGAATACACTTGAACTGTGCTTACCAGTTCTAGATAAACCTCTACTAATCCAGAATACATTTAGGTGAGAAAAAGCACTGTGGGAAGAAGGGTAAAAACGCACGTCCAACGAATGTCATCTCCTTAACATTTGAGAGGCACACGCAATACTTGAAAACAGTCCAGGACGCTTATTTATTAAAGCCGCTGGCGGCATCTGGGCAGGCGTTTGTGAACAACTCCATACTTTCCCATATGCCTGGAATATTGCATAATACGGAGTATTTTTAGAGCCTGAAAACTCTCATGCCTTTCGTGCAGATTTTATGTTCTTCTCCATCATATAGATGACTTCATCCATTTTGACATAAAATAGAAAGATTGCTGGTCCTCAAAGGACCTTATAAATAAAACTAACAGAGTTGGCAGATGGTGGAAGATACTGGCCCTTTTGAAATCAAAGCAAAATACAGAGACGAATCTCTAAATCTAACATTTTGTTTGGGAAGCAAGAATTGTAATCTGGGGCATACGCATGGATAGGGTGGTCTTTGGTGTGTATGAAGAACAAAAGAAAGGCTGGGGGTTTATTAGAAAGAAAAAGGTTACGTATTGTTTTGAATGAAAGCTCTTTGGCACTAGGGAAGCTCTTGGGAGCTGGCAGGCTCTGAGTGGGGACAGGCTCTGACAGCTGGCAAGCTCTGACAGCGGCGGGGAAGACTGGTCTCAGAGTTAGGGCAGGTTGTGTCAGCAGCTACTGGGTAGAACTGGTCTTAGGGTTCCAGCAGGCCGTTTCAGCAGCTGTGCTGGCAGAACACGCGGTTCTTGGAGCAGGTGGTATGTATGTGCCCGAGTGCTTTTTTTCACCCTGGCCCCTGGGCTCTAACTTAGTTGGGTGTGACAAGAATGACCCAGTTCCTATAATCAACTTTTACAGCCCCTTGTGACCCTGGCAAAGCACTCAAGAGCTATTAGCTGTTGTTTCTATTGTTCAGCCTGGGAGGATGAGTCATGTTTGTCCCGTGGTTCTGTGTGGCCCCGTGACCCTCGTGTCTTGCTCAGTGGTCACGTGTCCAGTGTAAGACGTGGAGCCCTACAGGTTCTTCCTCATCCAGTGGAGAGGCCGTGGTCAACCTTAAAAAGTGACCTGGTGGCCGGGCGCTGTGGCTCACGCCTGTAATCCTAGCTCTTGGGAGGCCGAGGCGGGCGGATTGCTCAAGGTCAGGAGTTCAAAACCAGCCTGAGCAAGAGTGAGACCCCGTCTCTACTATAAATACAAAGAAATTAATTGGCCAACTGATATATATATAAAAAATTAGCCGGGCATGGTGGCGCATGCCTGTAGTCCCAGCTACCCGGGAGGCTGAGGCAGAAGGATCACTCGAGCCCAGGAGTTTGAGGTTGCTGTGAGCTAGGCTGACGCCACGGCACTCACTCTAGCCTGGACAACAAAGCAAGACTCTGTCTCAAAAAAAAAAAAAAAAAAAAAAAAAAAGTGACCTGGTCACGTTGGGCAGCCTTGCCTTCTTGGAGTCCCTGCCCCTCCACCCCAGGACCCCTCATGACCCATTTGTCACATAAGAGGTGTGTCAGGTCCAGGGGACAAAGTGTGTGGCAGCCCCTGCAAATGGTGGTCCTCTGTTGCCACCTCCTGCACCCACACCTTCCCCTCTTAGGGAAGAGGATGCTTTTGAGCATACCTCTGCCAGCCGATGGTTGGTGAATTGAGTGTCAAGATCATTGACTATCAGAGCTAGAAGGGTCCGTGGACTCCCTGTCACCCAGCTCTCTTGGTTCATAGAGTTGGAAACCAAGCCAGTGGGGCAGCAGGTGCCACAATCCAGGCCCGCGCCCCCCATTAGCAAGATGTCATATGCAAGTCAGCCTGCTGCAGGTCAAGACCCGTGGTGGATTGCAGCCGGGGACTTTGCAGAGTGATACACAAAATGTTTAAGAACTCAGGCGGCACAGACCAAACACAGTGGATGCAGGTGGTAGGAGCTGGAATGGGGCCCTGGAGGCCTCCCACCCCGAGCCAGAGGTTAACTATTTAGATTACGGAAAGCCTGGGGCTGTAAGCTCTTTGCCACTGGTACAGAGTGTTTGGCATCGGGCGTGGGGTCTTGCTGAGGCTCTGTGCGAGCAGCCCTTGCACGTCTCTCTGGGCAAGGGAAGGCGTGGCACTCTGCTTTGTACCCTTTCTGTCCCCTGGCACTGGCTGGACTCGGCGCTCACTGGCCCGTCCTCTCTCTCTCCACCCACCCTGCCCCCGGTGGCTGTGGCCTGGCCCTGACCTGCCACGGCAGTGCTCGGCCACCTGCGGGGAGGGCATCCAGCAGCGGCAGGTGGTGTGCCGGACCAGCACCAACAGTCTCGGGCAGTGCGAGGGGGAGAAGCCAGACACCGTCCAGGTCTGCAGCCTGCCCGCCTGCGGAGGTGAGCGGATGGGGCAGACAGGCCAGGCCCAGCTCCCCAGCCTGGACCCAAGTCCCAGCCCCTTGTAAATCCCACACCCTACAGCTGCTTCTGCCTGCTCACAGGAAATCTCCGGAACTCCACGGTGAAGGCTGACGTCCAGGAACCTGTGACTCCAGAGGGGCAGTGGGTTCCACAGTCCGGACCCCTACATCCCGTTAACAAGATACCAGCAAGTAAGTGCAGCCTTCGGCCCCACGCCCTCCCCACACTTTCAGCGGCCCAGCGTTGCAGCGTGGGGCGTGAGGCAGGGCAGGCTCAGCTTGCACCGTCGGTGTGACCCGAGCTCCCTGGCCTCGGATGCCTCAGCTGTGACGTAGGGATGATGCTGTGCTGGTCCCTGGCCCCTTATATGCAATTCCAAAATGCTTATTTCTAAGTTTGGTGCAGAGTCATTTGGTGGCAAAATCCGACCTGAATTAACAACAACAAAAAAAATCATTTATTCTTTTGCTACAGAAAAATTGCCGTATTTGGTTACAAGGTGGCATCACAGACCCCACTGCGGGTGTTCTGCAATATAAACACGCACAGTATTACTTTTCTGACCTCAGAACTTCTGAATTCTGAATTGTATTTGGTTCCAAGATTTTCAGAGAAGCCATTGTAGGTCTGAGCTGCTTTTGTTGTGCTGAATTAAGAGGGAGAGTGTGCACACCCCTGCCCAGCTGTCAGCTAATGAGACGACAGGAGGAATAATTCGTCCCTGCCCCATAGTCAGGGGCCCATCAGTTCATCCTGCCACCTTTCCATTCCCCCATCCACGAGTAGCTATGTGCTGAGCTCCTGCTCCATGCCAGGCTGTGTGTGCCACTCTCCCTTCCTGGGTTCCGCTCTCCTTCCCTTCCTCACCCTCCCAAGGACCCATGTTTGGCAAGATGAGTGGCAGAAAAGTCACAGACCTTAACTCCTAGTTAGAGGACCAGTCGGCTGTGTGACCTCGTGCAAACCCCTTAACCTCTCTTAGCCCAGCGACCTCATCTGTAAAATAAAGGGTCCTCCATGTGCCTTCTGAGCTCCAACCTTGTCCCTCCTCTGCTCCCATGCTGAGGCTCAGGCTGGACAAGTTTCTGGGCTTCCTTTCGTTTTCCTCCCAAAAGCAAAGGGCAGGGCCCTGTTTCTGATCCTAGCACGCTGGTGCCATCTAGGGGCCACTAGCTTTCCATTTTCTCTGATTGTTCTCTTCCTAAGTCTGCCCCTTCCTTCCTCTCTCTTCCCTCTCCCCACCCTCTCCTCACTTCTGGCAAAGAATAATAGAAAGCAAAGCTCCTGCCTTCACATTCTGTTTGGAGAGACCCACGTGGATTCATTACAAAGACATTTTTAGATGGTATTTTAAGCAAAGCAAACTAGTACAGGGAGCACCCTTCTATGCCAGGCACTTAAAAAATGTTATTTATAATTATGATGTCATTATTCATTGGTAAATATCAGCATTATCCCCATTTTACAGGTGAATAAACTGAGGCTTGGAGCTTAAGTGACTTGCCCAAGCCTCACAGCTTTTAAGTGGTAGAGCCAGAAACTGAACCTAATTCTGCTTGATTCCAAATTTAGTGGTGGAGGACTTCACGTCCAGATGTGAGCTGACGGGTGGCAGGGCGTTTGCTTGTCACCAGCGTGGGTTGGCTGGGCGTTAGCCTGGCGCTGGCTGGAGTGGGTCCGATTCCTCTGGGTTGATTGGGAGGGTGTGAGGGTCACCACCTCCACCTAGAGCAGCTGCAGTTAGAGTCACCCCATGTCCCAGCCACACCCCAGACTGCCCAGTCTGTCTGGGAGAAGAGCTGGCATCGGCTGTTTGTAAAGCTCCCTGAGTAATGCCCGTTTGGGGGCCCATGCTGCCAGGTCTGGGGACGAGTGACGCAGGGCCGTGGTTCTCAGACTCTCCCACACATCGGAACACCTGAGGGCTGTGAGAGCACAGTGCTCCCGAGGGTTTCTGATGCAGTAGTTCTGGATAAGGCCTGAGAATCTGCATTTCCAGCAAGCTTCCAGGTGGTGCTGATGGTGCGTGAGTGGGGACACCACTCTGGGAGCTACTGCTCTAGAGGATTCTAGTTCCCCTTCCGTATAGAAAGGGCTCAGTGTCCTGTCGGGCGGTCCTGTGCCCCTCTGGGAAGAAGCTTTATAGTGAGTCCAGGAGGAGCGGGGGGTGGAGGGCATGCAGTTGGTGGTGAGGGGGAGGTGGGGCCTGTGTCCTGGTGTCCCCCCGCTGATGGACACGGGTCCTTGTGCTGTGTGTGCAGCGGAGCCCTGCCTGGGGGACAGGTCCATCTTCTGCCAGATGGACGTGCTCGGTCGCTACTGCTCCATTCCTGGCTATCACCGGCTGTGCTGCGTGTCCTGTACCAAGAAGGCCACAGGCCCCAGCGCTAGCCCAGACCCTGGCCTGACCTCAACGCCCACTGTCTCCACTCCCGGGAGCCCCTTACCAGGACCCGAGGCCCCTCCAGTTGCCGCGGAGCCCACCAGGGAGCCAGCGGGATCAGATGACCTCCAGCATGGCCGACCGACACAGCTCCCAGGACTCCCGGACACAAGCTCCCCGGTGACCCAGCACCTTTTTGCCCCCCAGAAACTGAGCCCTAGAGCATTCTGGGGCACCTCCCCTACCACCCTGGGGGGACAGCCGTGGGGCTGGACTCAAGCACCTGTGCCAGCCTCCAAGGACAAAGGGTGGCCCAGGGAAGACCCGGAGCATCCAGGTACCAGCCTCCCTGCCACCTCCCCGGTGACATGAGCCACGCCCCACCATCCCACCAGTGACGTTTACACTGTGAGCCGCCCAGGAGCCCTGGCTCAGAGGACGCACACATGGGGCAGGGGCAGGCACAGACTTCCTTTTAAATTATTCACCTTCTTGTTTGGGGCTTGACGCTCTAGCCCAGAGAGTGGGGAGGGAGGAAGACAGAGCAGGGCGAGCTCTACCTGGAGATACCTCAGCGAGCAGCCCAGCAGCTGGGCCACACCTCTCAGGGGCTCCAGTTGGTCTCCTGCCACAAGCTGGGCCAGCTACTGCCCCCTCCTCACAGCCGCGGGGTCCCAGGCAGGTCCGAAGCCCAGGCTGAGAGCTACCAGGGCTCCCTGCCTTCCCCAGAACTGTGGAGACCCCGTGGGGACCCTGCCTACGTGGCCCCTCTGCCAGAAAGGCAAAGCAGGGCCAGGGGAGGCGGGGCGCTCACAGCAGGCGGAGAGGAAGGGGCCGGGTGAAGGTGGCATGAGGCTTCCCGGCCCAGGGCTGGGGAGGGTGGGAGGCGGCTTGTCCCAGGCCCAGCTCTTGGTAGCCGAGGGCTCCACACAGCTCCACCGGCCTGGGCCTTTGCTGGCTGGAGGGCAGTGCCTGTGGCCATGCTCTACTCCTGTGGACATCACTTCTGTTCCTTCTGATAACTGCAGGTTACAGGCTGGCCTCCCAATCCCACCCTGGCCCACCAGAGAAGGGGGTTCAATACACCCTGGGCCCCTGTTCTCACCGTACAGGGGTTTCCAAACTGGTGCTTGACCCCTGACTGGACCAGAACTGCAGCTTTGGTCGTGACTCTGAGCCTTGGAGGTGACTGTGTGGGACACAGAGGAGCCGTGATTTCTCAGGCTGGGCCCTCAGTCATTATCCACTGCCCAAGACAGAGGGGGTCAGGGGTCTTTTCCGCCTGGCTCAAGCTAGGCAAGAGCTGTGTGGTTCTTCGGGCACTGGGGCCCCAGGGAAGACGACCAGAGAGTCTACTCAAAGCCAGACCCTGCAGGTGACCAGGGCCACCCGGGCTGAGTGCCCCAGGGCAGGATGCCAGCCCTGCCCCAGTCTGGAGTGAAGAGCACACAGTGACCCCTGGTGCTGCAGGGCCTCCTCCAGGCTCACCTGCCCTCCACGTTACCTCCAAGGGACAGGTGACAGCCCTAGACCCTCTGGCTCTCAGGTGATGGCCCAGGTTCCCAGCACACCCACAGGGGTCCTCACCCCTAGGGTCCTTGCCAGGTGATAGAGGTGCTTCTCATTTCTTCCTTCCCCGGCAAAAGGGGGCTGTTCTGAGCCAGCCAGGAGGAGCAGAAGCAGTGCGCCCCTGGCCTGCAGCCGCTTAGAGAACAGAGGTGCTGGGGGGCTTCCCAGGTGCGTTCTCCACCTGCTGCCTCCTCCTCCCCCTTCCCTAGGATGCTGGGCCCACACTGGGTCATTCCCATGGGAATCAGTTAAAGGGCGTAAACTCTTGTGCCTTAGGAATCCAGGTCTTTACATTTTTATGTATTTATTAACATTGCCCTTGGTGTTTTGTTTGGGACCCCAAAAAGTTGTATGTGCTTTTCTTTTTCTCTCTTGGTTTTGGAGGAAGCGGGCAGTGAAGCCAGAACTCTACGGGGCTGTCTGGGCTGTAGCAAGAGGACTGGGGCTGGGGAACAGATGGGACGGGGGCTGGAGTCTCGTCCTTCAGCCTCTGTGACCAAGACCCACTCACTCCGTGGCTCCTCTGAGGGGTCAAAATCAGGCCTGGGGGTCCTACTCGGGCTCCGCCGTGGAGGAGCTGTGTGGCCTTGGGCAAGTCACCGCCCAGAACTTGATCCAAAGGGCAAGGTGCCTGGGAGATAGTTTTGGGGTCTGCAGGGCATTCTGATGTCACTGTACAAGCGTGCAAGGGGTGGTTTCCTTGGAAGGTGGTGAGCGCCCTTTTCCTGGAAGAATCCAAGAAGAATTGTGGACGCTGGCTAGGAGGAGGAAGGAATGTGATGCATCTTTTTGGGCAGCGAAGGCCGAAGAACCCTGCTCTGTGGGACTGCTGACCGACCCCTCGCCCCTTGCCCGTGTCAGACATCACTAATCCATCCCCGCACTGTTTCAGTGTGTGTATCACAGGCCCCTCCCTAACACCTGTGGGACCCAGGACAAGAGTGCAAACAAGGACTCCGCCCCCCACCAGCCCAGGGTGCACTCCTCTTTCCACCCCTGGTTTCATCCCTCAAGGGACTTCACACGCCTGTCTAGCCCTCATGGCCACACTCCATTCACATCCCTCTGCACACAGCCTGCCCTTGGGGGCTACCCTTTGCAGACAGCTGCCATTTGGGTGTACGTGGTGACCCAGTCGCACCTTAGGGGGACTGACTTGGGGAGATGCTAGCATGAGCCCCAGAAGTGGGCTTAGGATCGTTCAGGCAGGGAATTAATTCTATGAGCCAAGGACCCCAGAATGTGGCCTGCAAGGAGGGGAACATGGGCCCTGGATGGGCACTTCCACTTGGCCCAGTGCAGTCCTTGCCGTGGGGGTAGTTCTGGCAGAGTGGGGCCCTCTAGGATCCTAGCACTCTGGCTCTAACGGTGTCCTGGTACATTGCACAGGGCAGGGATGACACATGGAAAATGCGTGCCAATGTACCTGCATCTTGTGCCCGTGGCAGACATTGCCAGTCTGTCACTGCACTGTCCCCCACTGAGCCCGCTGACCCCAAAGAATCCTCTTCACACAGTGCTCTGGGTAGTGGCCATGGATCATTGCCATCATTGGGACAAAGCGCAGGGCTAGTGGGTCTGTAATTTTAAATTGTACAACTTTAGAAACCTTTGCACCATCAGCATCTCAGGCAGAACCGCGACATCTAGAAGCAGGACTGCAGTGCTTGAACCAAGGAAGAGGATGCCAAAGCCAGCCCCAAGGAACCTCTACTGAGCTCTGGGCCCTCTGAGAGCCCAGGGTGGGGGCAAACCATCTCTAGGGAGCCTTTGGGTCCACCTGCTCCTATGAGAAATGGAAACGAAAGTGTGTATTTGCCTTGCCTACCTGTGAACACACTATGAAAAGAGTGTGGCCAGAAAATGCAAGGTGTCACAGTGATGAGGGCACCTCCTAGGAGTGACATTTCTCACTAGGTTATTCCTGGAATGGGGCTTAAGGGACCCAGTCAGCTTGAGGTGACAGATGAGCTGTCATCTATGCCACAAGAGTGGGCTCAAGTCAGAGTTTGGGTTCCCCCAGACCATAAACCTCAGCCAGTGGGGTCCTCCCCCTTCTCTAGGTACCCCATGACCCTCACACCCTGCAAGCCAAGGCTGCCTGGACTGTCGGCTTGGGCCTTGGGGACCCAGGTCATTCCCCTGACCACATGTTACCCACACTATGCGTCGAGTGTAGAACGCTCAAGACAACATCACTCTCACCCTAACAATGAGCAAAAGCCCAGTAATCTACAAAGTCATATATGTTTAGCCCATCAGAGTAGGGGTTGCAAGGCCAGCAGGTGAACTAAATTCTGAAGTATGACAAGCCCCTCTAAGGACAGACTGGACACATGGAGACTTTGTTCAGCCTTGGTGAAGCACAGGAGGAGTGACCACCATAGAACAGGGGCGAAAATACAACTGAAATGTCAATGAATTTTTAAAGCTGAGTGTGACACTTGGGAATCATTGGGGGCCCCAAAGACAATGGGCGTCTACACCTGCTCACCAGCTCTTTTCCTCAGCCCTCCACTGGATGCACGAGTGGAAATCTGGGGCAGGACAGGAGACCCAAGAGAGCACCCCTGGGGCCCTGCCCAAGCCTGAGAGCACAGATTTAAAAAGCAATTTAATAGCATGGAGGACACCAAATATCTGTACACTGAACATACAAAGTATTGCTGAGAAAAATTTAAAAATACCTGAGTAAAAGTAGACCATGTCTATGAATCAGAAGCCTCAATATTGTGTTAAGGTGTCAATTCTCCCCAGTGATCTATAAATTCAGTGTGAGTCCAATCAAAATTCCAGGAGAGAATCCGAACACAGATCCACACAGACACAGTGGTAATGGTTAATTCTTATGTGTCAACTTGATGGAGTTAAAGGATGCCCAGGTAGCTGGTGAAACACATTTCCAGGGTCTGTGAGGAATTAGCATTTCAATCCATAGACTGAGTAAGCAAGATCACCCTCCCCAATGTGGGCAGGTGTCATCCAATCCACTGAGAGCCCAAATAGAGCAAAAAGGCAGGGGAAGGACAAATTCTCTCTGTCTGCTTGAGCTAGGAGGACATTCGTCTTCCTCCCTTGGATACCAGTGGCTCCCCTAGTTCTTAGCCCTCTGGATTTGGACTGGAAACCTACGTTTTCCTGGGTCTCATTTTGGCAGTTTCTTTATAAGTTAAATGTTATAAGTTAATGTTATAATTTTATAGCTTAGACATAAACTTTCCATACAACCCAGCAGTGCCTCCCCTATGTATTCAACAAGGAAAATAAAAACATTTGTCCCCCAAATCGCCTTATGCAGAAGTTCATCGCTACTTTATTCAAAAAAGCTCCAACTGGAAACAATTCAATTGTGTATCAAACAGCGAAAGGATAAATCAACTATGGCAGAGCCATACAGTGGAATACTACTAAGCCATGAAAAGGAACAGACTACACATACATTCATGCGTGAATCAACTTGGGTAGATCTAAAAAGCACTGTGCTAAGTGAAAGAAGCCAGGCCCCAAAAGTGACATACTGGGTAGTTCCATTTATATGCTATTATGGAAAAGGTATAACCATGAGAACAGAAAGAAAATCACCTGATCAAATTAAAAAAGCTTCTGCACAGCCAAGGAAACTATGAGAACAAACAGACAACCTACAGAATGGGAGAAAATATTTGCATGTTACACATCCAATAAAGGGCTGATAACTAGAATCTATAGAGAATTCAGGAAAATCAGCAAGAAAAAAATCAACCATATCAAAAAGTAGGCAAAGGACATGAACAGAAACTTTTCAAAAGAAGATAGATAAAGGTCATTCTCACTGGAGATAAGTGATATCTCATTGATTTGCATTTCCCTGATGATTAGGGATGTTGAGCATTTTTTTTCATGTGTTTGTTGGCCATTAGTCCATCTGCAGAAGTAACAAATATAGCGGAGTAATAACTCGTGTTGAAAGGATAGTTGACATGGCAGAAAAACCAAGGCATCAAAATAGAAGAGAGAGTCCAGAAAAGCACACGGCACACGGAAAAAATGAACCCACTATGCAGTAGAGCTGAACTATTTAGACCACCCCTGTCAACCCATGGGAAAGATATACTTATGAGCTGTTTGACCTTGGACAAATTACTTAAAGTATCTTTTAAATTCTTGTCTATAAAATTATGCTAATAAGGGTATCTACCACATGGAGTTACTATGGGGTATGCAAGGTCCAGGGGATGGCCTTGCCCATCCAAACTGCCAGGGCTTGAATCTTGAATCTGTTTCTTATTACTTATATTAACATGACCTTGGACAAGTTTCTTCTCCTTCCAGCTCCTGATCCGTAAAATTATCATAACGGTAGTATGTACCTCTTAAGATTGTGTGAATTAAACACTTGAAAATTGAAGGATTTTTCTCAACCCAACTTTATAAATACGTGAATACTTCAGTTTATATATATTTGATATCTAAACAAAATCAGTTCATGCCTAATGATGAAAAATGAGAAGCATTTCCATTAAAATAATGTTAAAATGCCCAGTATTATCATTATTGTTTAGAATTATTCTCTGGAAGTATTAGCTAATGTAGTCAGATAAGAAAAAAATGAAAGATATAAATATTTGAAAGGGGATGTGTTCTGATTGAGACTGATAAAAGAGATTTGATAAGGGCCAAACTTAGCCAGGCGAAGAGAGGAAAGACTTGATCTGTGTGGCTCTGGGGACCAAGATAAGGTCTGAGTAGCCAGAAAAATATAGAGCCCAAGATCCCTGTTCCCGCAGTTGTTCAACCCGAAGCTTGACAACTTCTTGTAGATGCTAAAATTGGGGTTTCCCACGGGCTGTTTGACCTTGGGACAACCTTCCCTCTGCTGAAAATAGGTCTCCAGCCCATTCTTACCTATGTAAGTAGACTAAGGAGAGCCCCATTGTTGAGCCAGCAATCTGGACAGGTAGAAGCTGACCCCCACATGTGTCCTTAAGCCAAGATTCCCAGGGGTGGCTCTCTCATCTCCAAATTGCCGTCTATTCTGATCAGCATTTCCCAAGGTGTGGTCAGTGTGCTCTGGTGGTGGAATAGATGTTACATGGAGGAACGTTTCAGATTTTGATACATCTGTATGTGAGACTTTTATAAATCACACATCAAACCACGATGTCATGAATATTATTGCTTAGGACAAAATTATATTTAAGTTAAAAAAAGACACATTTAAAGAAACATTAAGGAATAGTTCAGGTGGTAATAGTGATAACAAAATTCCTGATGGGGCTGTGGGAATGGTTCAAGATTTGAAACCAAGGGCTCTTGTGAGTGGCTGGAGCACTCTGGAGTCTGGTGAGTCTGGAACCTCCACTTACTAGCCACCAGGCCTTCGCCATTCTGGATTCTTTTCATCACACGTGACATAAGAATCAATGACTTTTGTAAAGCCATTCTCATAGTAGCACTATTCACGGTAGCCAAGAAGTGGAAACAAGCCTTCCATGGATGAATGGATAAACGAAACGTGGTCTATACATTCCATGGACCGTTACTCAGCCTGAAAAAGGAAGTTTGTTCTGACACATGCTGCAAAATGGATGAACCTGGAGGAGATCACGCTAAGTGAAAATAAGCCAGTCACAAAAGGACAAAGATTGTATGATTCCACTTATGTGAGGTGCCTGGAGTCAAATCCATAGAGATAGAAAGTAAAGTGGCTGCCAGCGACTGGGGAGGAGGGAACAGAAAGTTATTGTTCAACAGGTGCAGAGTTTCAGTTTTGCAAGATGAAAGGAATTCTGTGTACAGATGGCAGCGTTGGCGACAAAATGACGTCAACCCACTTAATGCCACTGAACTGTTACTTGACAATGGTTAAGGTGGCAAATTTTACGTTAAAAAATATTCATAAAAATCACCTCTTGGAGGAAGAAGGAATTTTATTGTCTCACATGTGGGGAGTGCTGGGGGAGGGTCCGGAGCACCCGGTGTGACTGAATCCAGGGCTTCATCCCCATGGAGCAGTGATGATCAAGATGCATCCTTTGAAATCCCAGCGTTTCTCCACCAGCACAAAATATTCCCAAGGACAGACTGTGCTTGGCCCAGCTTGTGTCACATGCTTATCCGGCCCAAACCAGTCCTGTGCCAAGGGAGGTGCCAGGTTTCATGCTCCTGGGTAGCCCCAAGTAATGGCCACCATAGTGGCTAAGGAGACTGGATCCCAGCAAGAACCTGGAGCCATAGGGAGAAGATGGGAGGGAAAATCTGTCTTCATGCTTCTGGGAGAAGGGCAGGGGAAAGGGAGCAGAGAACTTCCAGGGCCTGGAGCCAGAGAAAACTCAGGAGTGTCCAGGAAGCGCGGGTGGCATTCTGACACCCAGGAGAGGACATCCTGATGCCCAGGAGGACTGGGGCACCTGAGACAGCAGAGCCTGGAGACTCTGCCGGGTGTTGGCTGCCACTGGGGAGACATCCTCAAGGGAAGAGCGACCAAAGGCTTTCAGAACAGGTGGTTTAATATTGAATGTGAAGCTGTTTGCCAGGTTTACAGCAATCCCCGCGGTCTCCACTGAAGCCTGCTGCACCAGTTAGTGTGAACGGGGCCTTCTGGAAACCCCGGGAACTGAATCCGCCGGAAGGGAGGTGAGGTGGGGCAGTGCTGCAAGTGCAGAGTGGAGCCACAGGCCACGGAACGAAGGCCACTTAGCCCATGAGCTAAGGCAGCAAAATAGGAGCTCAGGGCCACAGGGGGCCATGACATTGTAAATCTTCAATGCCTGCTCCCCACCCCAACTTTCCAGGGAATTTTCAGAGATCTCAAGGAAAACACTAGACTTTCTAGAGGGTTGAGTCATCGTCTCCAGATCCTAAAGGACAGAGACACCCCGGTTGCCATCTGGGTCACATTTATATAAAGCCCCTTTCCTCCTATATTTTGCCAACTGCCATGTTGCTAACCCTCATGCTTTTCAGAGCTGTGACCACAGCTTTTGGCGAAGGCAGCCATTTATAAGGCAGTAGGGAGCAGTGGGTAAGGGCAGGGATTCCAGAGCCAGACGTCTTGGGTTTGGATCCCAGCCATGCCGCTCAGTAACTGTGTGACTTTGGACAAGTTGTTTCACCTGAGTGTCAATTGATTCATCTGCAATATTCTACTGCAGGCGTCCTCAAACTACGGCCCGCGGGCCACATGCGGGTGTTTTTGCCCATTTCTTTTTTTACTTCAAAATAAGATATTTGCAGTGTGCCTAGGAATTTGTTCATAGTTTTTTTTAAGCTATAGTCCGGCCCTCCAACGGTCTAAGGGACAGTGAACTGGCCCCCTGTTTAAAAAGTTTGAGGCCCCCTGTTCTACTGCTTTGGGGAAAAATCAAATATAGTACTACATATAAAGTGTGCAGAGCAATCCGCATGGTGCTCGCCCTCAGCTTTTACCTAAGGGGCCATTTCAGTGGCCAGCACGGGGGAGGAACTCCATAATCAGGAACAGTGACCATTCTGACACCTGTGTGTCTTGGCTCCTGGAGGGGCAGAGCCTCTTTCTCAGGCCACCCCAACTGCCACCTGCCCCCCATTTCTCTAGACCATAAAAGCAGCAGGTAAGCCCCAAGTGGGCGGTAGCACTTGGGCTTTCTCCACGGGGGTGTGACGGTTCAGTGCAATCCTCTCTTCCGGAGTAAATGACCCCACACACAGACCTATTGCTGCTGGGAGAGCGGAACTGTCCTCTCAAAGGGAAGACAAGATTTTATTTAGCAGACTGTTTGCAACGGGAAATCAGGTGTTGCTGTGGAGGTGGGGCTGCGCTTGAACTTGGGGCTGTGCTTGAGTGAGGCAGGCAAAGTTTTAGGGGCTCTTCAGCTCTTTGTCATTGGCTTAGACGTCTTCTTCTCCGTGTCCTGACTTGACTGAATCCGGAGAACTTGTGCCTTCCCAATGTACTCTGGGGGAAGGGGAGAGACAGCAGGCAGGGGAGGATGAGGAAGGGCTGGGCCAGGCCCCTAACCGGGAAGGCAGATCCCTTCTCCCAGAAAGGCCCGGGAGGAGGTGAGAGCGCCTGGGGAGCCCGAGTCGAGGCCAGTGTCTGCTCACGGCTCTACTGGTGGCCCGGGCTGAGCAGATTCCCTTCTCTGAGCCTCACCCCCCCCCCAACTCTTCCTTCAACATCCAGGTAACAGGTATCAGTGAAGTGTCTGCTCTATGCCAGACACTGCCAGGCACTCGGGACCCTCCACAGTCTAATGGGGGAGAATAAGGTACGTGGAGGATGTATTTCCTCTTCTCTCCCCTCCGGCCTGCTGCCCCCTCACCCAGCTCCGGTCTAAGGCACCAGGATTACTGCGTGGCCTCTCCCTGGTGTCCCCCCACCCCATCTTCTGTGTGCAGCCCGTGCTCCACACAGCAGCCAGGGCGCCGCCCTGCCTGCGACCCTTCCGCGCACCCATGCTCTCTGCGAGAGCCGCACACCTGGCCTTTCCCACAGGCCAGCGCCGTCCACCCACCTCATCACATGTCTCACCACTGTCCCCACCCAGAAGGCCCTGGCCACCCTGGCCCGCTTGCCCTTCCTCCACCACGCCACGCAAAGGGAGCGCTGCTTGTGGGCTCCTCCTAGACCTGCAAGGAGCCCTCTCCCCACCTGCCACTCCGCCCTGCCTTGTTTGCTTTGCAGCACCCATGCTCTCGGGTGCTTTTATCTGTTGTCTGCTCTCCTCACTGGGATGTAAGCTCCCTGACTGCAGGAACTTGTCTGAATTCTTCCCCAATGACCCCCAGAGCCCAGCAAATTGTAAGTGCTCAATAAATATTTGTTGAACAAATAAATGAAGGAATGAATGAATGAGGGGAATGAGCAGCTTCCTTGGGCAGGGACCCAACTCCAAGTTGCCTCAATACCCTGAGAAATGCAGCCAGAGTGGGCCTCGGTGGGCCCTGAGAACCACCCCCGGGTGGAATCCTACCTGGCTTTTCGCTTTTTGCTAGAGGCAATGTTCTCGTCTTCTTTGGGAATTGACTACAACCAAATACAAAGGAGAGGCAGGGAAGGTCATTCTGGAAAGCTACCCCTGCAGATGGCAGGGTGGGCAGGGAGGTGAGGAAGTGGTGCAGGTGGGGCCAGCCGCCTGCTCCGGGGAGAGACAAGAGTCGCCCCTCCCGGAGAGCCAGAAAGGGTCTGTCCATGGATGGCACCCAGGTGGCCTTCCTGCGTCATCACCCCAGGCAGGACCCAGACAACAGTGGCTCCACTGCTGGCTGCAGCCACTGGGAACCAAGGCCTTCCTGTCCCTGGAGCCGTAAGGGGACGGCCACTGCACCAGCCCTCCGCCAGCCCCTCACTTGGGAAGGTCATTCCGTTGTTCCTGAGCCTGTTTTCTCTGCTGTAAAATGGCGTGGGTTGTGTGGACTGGAAATATGTACGCTACGCAGCATTGTCAGGTAGACATACGGTATTGCTGATTACCTTGCCGACATTCAGGCTCCACCCGGGGCACCTAGCACTGGTGTAAAGGTGCTTTAGGCTGCCTGTGTCTTCCCACAGACCAAGGGCTTTGGGAGGGCTAGATGCGCTCACGTGGCCCTGCCTGGTTATATCTGACGTCAGCAACCCCCTGGGGCAGCCCCACAGCCCGCCGGTGAGGGGCTGGTCTGGCTGCTTCAGGCAGCACCGGCAGAACTGGAAGGGGGGCTGGGGGAGGGGCTGGGCCTCTTCCTCCAGGACTGGCCCAGTGAGCCCAGCCTCTGGCCAGCGCCAGGCTCCCTTCTCCGGCCCCATCGGCCCCACCTGGGAGGACAGGTGGCTGAAGGCGAGGGGTGCGGAGTCTACCTGTAGCGCAGCAGCTGCTGGTTTTCCTGTGGAGAGTCTTGAACTTCTTCGAGCTGGTTTAGGAGTCTTTCCACAGGAATGGAGGTCAGAGGCTGGGGCAAGAATTGAGCCACGGCCGTCTGCAGAAGTCCCAGGACAAGGTCTTTCTCTGCAAGCACATCCCAGGGAGGGCAGAGTCCTCAGCCCCCAGCCCCCTGCCTGTCCTGGCTGCCATAGCCCCTCCAGCTCTTGCCTGACCCCGGTCAAGGGCAGCTTTCTCTCGCCATCCCATACTCTGCCCACGGGTCCCTGCAGGGGAGGTGGGGCCCTACTTCTCTCCTGGCCCCCCCGTGCTTGCAGAGCGCCTGGCCCTCCCACGTCCTCCTCCTGCCACGCATCATGTGTGTGCCTTGGTCTTGGCCCCACCTGGCCGTCCTGCCTGTCACACCCCCGGCCCCCTCTGGGAAGTCTACTAGGGATCGCATTTCTCCTCCTCCTCCTCCTCTACTCTCCCGTCCAGGAAGTCTTCTCCAATTAGCTTCCTGGTTCTCATCACTCCTCAACCCCCTGCTTGGGTGGGCCCTCCACCCACGGTGCCAGCGTGCACCTGCATGTGTATTCATGTGCTCATGTGTGCACACGTGTGCGTTCTCATGTACTTGCACCTGTGTGTGTGTGTTTCCCAGTAGTGTGTGAGGGGCCGTGTCTGCTGAGCAGTCTTTGGACTTCTCCCTCCCAGGTGACTAGACCTGGGTTCAGCATGAAGGAGGGGTCCCCTGCAAGGAGCAGGGCCACAGAAATTCTGCTAAGGAAAGGGGGAGGAGGAAGCAGTGACACTGTCTGGCCGGGAAGGGTTGGTTCGGGGCTCCAAAACAGAGGAGAGACCCCGGTGGCAGGCCCTGGGTGGGAACTGAGTGACACCTGAGTCCTGCAGAACCAGAGAGCAAGGGCAGGACTTTGGCAGCCTCCATGCAGAGAGGGGGTCCTGGGGCTGTGTCCTCACCCTTGGGGGAAGCGTAGAGCAGCCAGAACTGGATGGCTCCCAATGAGTCTGTCTGCAAGATCTGACAGAGAAGCTCCAGGATCTGTGGGCAGGAGGACGGCATGTTCCAGCCAGCAGCACAAGCAAACATGGGTTCAGAGGCCACCAGGGGCCCCTCCCCGCAAAGCAGGTTCCCAGAGCCACAAGCTTGGCTAAACCTGTTCCTATGACAGTCCCTGCCTCCCCTCTGCCTTGCACTTTGTCTCACAACAGTCCTGGAGGAATATTCTTAACCTCCCTGATGAACAAGTGAAGATTCAAGGCCTTGAGAGAGGAGGACACCCCGCAGGGAGTTTGTGGCAGAATGAAGCCTTGGATAGCAGATAGGTTGACCCCTTATCCCCAGTGCCTGCTTGGGCTGGCTGGACCCCAGGGCCCGTCCCCGGGAAGGCAAATTCAGGGTTGGACATCAGCTCCTTGGAGACCCACCGAGTCCCACATGCCCTGGTCGTTGGTGGAGTTTCGGGAAGCCCACAGGAATCCCCACCCTGAAGCTCCCAGAGTCTGGAGACATTAGCAAGGAGGTGGGGAAGTCCCAGGGGGGCGCCTGAGGGTGAGTGCTGGCTGGTCCTGCCAACTGCTCAGCTGGGGGCTTCTTCCTGGAGAGCAGCGGGTACACTTGGCTCCTAGCTGCCTTCTCAGCCTGCGACATCTCTGGCACTTCAGGGCTCAATTTTCCCTGCATTCTCCATTCAAGTAGCATCAGGAAAAGATCCACCTCTGACTCAGTTGGGTAATGGGGGGTCCCTAGGCCACCAAGTTTATGGCGGCGGCGGCGGCTGGCTGGAGCTGGGGCTCCAGGTGGGAGGTGGAGCCCCTGGAGTCCTAGGAAAGTGGGGTCCCCTCAGCACTTGGCGGTCAGTCTTCCCAGGACCTGGAGGGGCCTGTCAGTCCCCAGCAGGTCTGTCTTGTCCTTGGCACAATGGAAACTGGGCTGGGCCTCTCCCCAGGACTGTGCCTGCTTGGGGCCCCACCCTGACCCCCAGGCACCCACCCCACTGCAGAGACCCACCCTGATCTGCCCCTAGACCCTTCACCGTTCTCCGCATCCAACTTACCTGCCCTGCGCCCCCTCCCCACAGGACCCGAGAACCTACTTCCAGGCAAGGTGAGGCCGCCCTATGGTGGAGAAAGCACCTTAGTCCTGGCTCTGCTGCTGCTTCTCTAGGGAACCTGGGCCATGGCATCACCTGGCAGGGCCTCAGCCTCCCCATCTGTGGCAGGGCGTGCCGGCCCTGTCTGCTCTATCCACTTTGCCGCACTGTTGCGAGGCTCCAAAGGGACTGCACGTCTGAAAGTGCTGGTCACGAGGAAGGTGGCGGGATGCTGGCTCTACGCGTGACCTTTAGTGTGTGTTTTAACAGGGACCTCCAACGCCTTAACCCGCTGGAGCGAGGCATGGACTCATCTCAGGCCTCGATGGGGACACTCGAACATGGAAGAGGTGGGCTCCGTGCTCACGGAAGCGCAGGCGGGCCCCTCTCAGAGTGGGAGACCAGGCTGGGCCTCGCCTTGTGGGCGGTGGGGCGCAGCCTGCCGGGTGTGATTCGAGAGCACACGGGGCAGGCCCTCCTTCTCCGTGCTCCTCAACCCACCACTGCAGCCCCCTTCCTTCCCTCATCAAAAGCTGCTGGGAAGTCCGCTGGTGTGGACCTTCCATGGCACTGTGTTCCTGCTCCCAATTTGGGACGATTGAGAGAGGCTCACCCGGAAACCTAAAGGCAGCAGGACGTTTGAGCCCAGGCTGGATTTCCTGTCTTACGTGTTCGGTGCCACCGTCCCCAGGAGAGCCCATCCCTAAAGCAGCCTGCGAGCGCCCAGGCTGGAAGAGCTGGGAGCCTGGGAGCAGAAACTGCCAGTGTCCACTCGCAGGCCGGGGCCTCACCAGCAGCTCCTGATCCTGCAGGATGGTCTGGGCTCCTCCGTCCCTGTTGGCACGCTGGCTCTGGCGGGCCCTGCGGCGGCTGCCAGCTCTAGTGGAAGAAGGGATGAGCCTACCGGTCTCGGCTGAGTACTTGGCCCCCTGCTCCCGCAGAGTCTCCTCCTTCTGCTGGACAAGAGTGGCCAGAGTCCCCAGGCAGCCAGTGACAGGGGAAGGAGAAGGCAGAGGGCAAGAGAGTCCGGGTCACAGGGGAGGGAGAAGGCAGAGGGCAAGAGACAAGGAGTCCAGGTCACACCTCCAGGGCACCCCCCAATCAAGCCTCACAGCATTGCCAGGGACCCAGGATCTCAGCCAGGCCACACACACCCCATCCTGGACCTCTCCTTGGGCCCCCCGGTGCTTTCACTGTCAGCTGTTCTGCTTAAACTAGCAAGAACTCTTCCTCCCAGAACTCAGCAATGGAGGGCTGAGTGCTGGGTACCCCCTGGCAGTCACCATCCTTCCTCCCAGGCAGGTCTCCTTGCTGCCCATTCCCCAGCTAGGCAGAGGGCAGCGAGTAGAGCTATCTTGATTCCTAGCTCACTACCCCAGACCCACCCCTGCAGCTTGCCATCCTTTCTCTGTCCTGGGAAGCCAGGCTTCTGGGCACAAAACCTGAGGCCTCCTGCTCTTACAGTTCCAGTAAAGACTGGCAGTATTCTTCTTCCGATTTAAAGATAAGAAAACTGATGCCTAAATAGCTTGGCTGAGTTGCCCCAAGTGCCAGCGTGAGTGAGCTTCGAGCAGGAGTGAGGAGCCAGGCCTCTGCCTCCCCACTGTGGGTGCCCTAGACACGTGGCAGGACCAGACTCAGCTGCAAACGGCCAGGCTGTCCTCAGGACAATTCCAGCCACCTCTGAGCTGCCTCTCAGTTGTCTCGACTGCGTTGTCACCAAACGGCACCCATGGGATCACCCCACCCTGTCTGAAAACCTTCATTGATTTTCCATTCGAATTTGGAAACTCACAGCAGGCTCCTGCGCTCGCCAGCTGCTGAGCTGCTGCGCTGGTGCCACTGCCTGGAATGCCCCCTTACCCCAGTCCACACGTGAGCAGCCCACTTAGATATGGGGGATCCCCGAATGCCATGTCTCCTGCAAACCCTGCTTGGACGTCTCCACCCAAGTGTGCTCTTGCCTCATGTGACCCTCCTCCCTGGGGTCTGTATTTGCTGGTCCCCTCCCCCCCACTGTTAGGTTGAACCCACTTGGGAGGGATGTGGGTACAGAGGGGTGGATCCATCTCTTCTCTTCCCAGACCAGCTCCCAGGGTCTGGACCCACCTCTTTGTTCTTCCGCTGCTCATTCTCCTTGGTGAAGAAGGCCACCTGGGAAGCCAGCTCCTTCAGCTCCTTCTTCCAGGTGTCTGGGAGGAGGGGACAAGATCCTGCCCACTGATATCTGGGGCCCACCCCCGCCCTGTGCCACTGGGAGTGGGTGGAAGAGTCAGCGTCCCTTCCTGTCCCATCTTAAGGGAAAGGGTCAGAAGTCACACCATAGGTGAGGGCTGCCTCCTTTCTAGAGGGGACGAATGCCACACAGCCTGTGGCATTGCCAGGAGATGCTGGAGAACATTTGGCTGCCTGTGCCAAGATGCATGTGGTTTAATTTAGCTTTGCCTCTTTGGGTCCCTGAAGCCAGGCCTGAGGTTCAGAGGACATGGCTGGGCCCATTATTAAGATGTCGAAGTGCTCCCCGGAGAGCTTAGCAAGAGTGCCAAACCTCTCTGCCCTGCACCTCACTGGCCCCTTCCCCAGGGTGGCCCCTGCCCCCAGCAGCCTGACTTTCCCGCACCCCAGTAACGGAAGGGGTAAGACTTGGCGGAGCAGAGGTCCTTGGATCACTTCTCCAGCTCCGCGGCTGAGTGTTCTGACTGGCTGGTGCCTGAGCACACGCTGCTAAGTATCTCAAATGGCACTCCTGCCCATAGCTGCCAGTCATGCGACTGCAGCCCCAGAATCTGCTTGTCCTCTGCTTGTTCTTATTCCTCAAGCCCCTCAAATGCAAGCAGGGTGTGTTTCTGAGGGCCAGGACCTGGGGGTGGGGGTCATGTAGAGATGAGGCTGCCCGAGGAAAGAGGGAGGAAGGGAGGCTCCTCCCACGGACTCCGCCCACTCCAAAGCAATGGCCCTTTGTTTCTCAGGCATCCGCCCAAGGGGGCAGCGGTGGGGAGAGGTGTGAGCCCCAGGGTAGAGAGGGCGTGGCCCTAGTACCCACCAGAGGCAAGCTGGGGGTTCCGGTTGGACTGTGGGTCTCCTAGGGGGGCAGAGATGGTGGGCATCACACAGCTGGCTAACAGTGTCGACTGAGGCAAGGGACCCAGAGAGAACTCGTCCTTGACAATACAGATAGGCTTCCCAGTGGTATCTGCGAAGGGTTAGAAGATGTGGGAAGAGAGGCCTGGCTGGCCCCCAAGCGTGCCAGGAGGCCAGAAAGAGGCTGGTGGGCAGGGACGGCTCCGGCTCCACGTCTGATAACCACAAGCACAGAGATTGTCAGAGCTATGAGGGCACCTGTGACCACCTAGACCAGTAACCACCTTACTTACCCGGGTGCTTAGAATGGACGGGGAAAGGGACCTGCTCAAGGTCACACAGCGAGTTGGGCAGAGACGGGACAAGAATCCAGGCTGCCTGGGCCCCCGGTGCTAAGCACCTTTTGATTTCCCATGGCAGAGCAGCAGTTTGCAGGTGTGAGGACACAGGGCTAGGCAGCTTAAAGATGAGGATGTTAAGTCACTGCCAGTGATGGGAGAGGCCTGGGCACAAGTGACAGGGACACAGACTGAACCAGACCGTCTGGAGAAAACGCTGGCTCTGTCGGCCTGTGCAAGGCTGTGTGGGGGGCAGCCTGGTGGGGGGAGGGCAGATGACACGTGAGGACCCTCTGGCCTGACCCTGGGAGATTGCTACATCATTGTTGACCGTTAGGCCCCGAGGACCAGCCCTGTTAGGACACGGTTGCTCCATCCTCCCTGAAACACTGGTGCCAGGACCCCTCAGTCCCTGGGTTTCTCCTCACTCACCACTTCTCATCTCCTCTGCAATCTCTTCTCTCCTTCTCAACCTCTTAACCCTGGGGGTCCCAGGGCCCTGTCCCCAGATTCTTTCTCCTGTCCTTGCTGTTCCCCCAGCAGAGCCAGGGCACTCTTGCCCCTGGACCTTTGCATCTGCTGATCTGTGGTTCTGAGACAGACTTCCCCCTGCTCCACACGGTTCCCACACACTCTTCCTGCAGTTTGTTGCCCAGATGTCATGTTATTGGCCAGGTCTCCCACGACCACCTTTTAAACACAGAAGTCTCCCCTCTGCAGCCTGGGCACGTGGCACCTTCCCCACTCCCCTCCCTCCCTACTGGAGGTCAGCTCCAGGGGGCGGGGCGGCCACTGTGTCTGTCTTGCTCGCTGTCATACTCCCAGGGCCTAAAAAGTGCCTGACTAATAGTTCACACTCACTGAATATTTGGTTGAGTGGATGGAATGGCCTCAGTTAGAGGACAGAGCACAGGTCCGGGCAGAACATTCATCCCCTTCTCTGGTTGGTAAACTGGGAGAGCCCAGTGGTGAGCGGATCCTGTAAGGCTGTGGTCCCCAACCCACGGGTCCATGGCGTTTTAGGGACCAGGCCACAGAGCTCCACCAATCTGCCCACCCCGACACCTCCCCCCACCACCCACACTACATCCGTGGAAAAATTGTCTTCCATGAAACCTAGCAAATGAGGGGGCCGTGATAGGCCAACAAGAGCAAAGCTCCCCCTCCACACACACTCCCACCCCCCACCCCGTCCATAGGAAAATTGTCTTCCATGAAACCAGTTCCTGGTGCCAAAAAGGTTGGGGACCTTGGTCCTGCGCTTCTCTCCCACCCCAAAGCCGAGTCCTGGCGTGGGCACTGGGCAGCTCCGGGACCCCGGCCAGGCCCCGTGTTCTCCGAGCCCCAGCGCGGAAACAGGGGCTGAAGCCAGTGCTTCCTCCCCAGCTCTCCAGACCCATTAGTGATACCCCCCCCCAGCCGCCCCCCAGCCAGCCCCGGCTGACCGGCCCCTACCTGGGATGTGGGTCACACGCTGGGGGTGGGGGTGGTGCCTGGAGAAGAAGGAGTGGTGGCTGAGGCGGCCAAAGCGGTAGGCGCCGGGGGTCTGGTCATTGGGGGTCCGCAGCGCCTCTGGGGCCAGCTCTAAATCCATGACGCCTGGGGTCACCTGGTCCTTCTGTGGCCCATCCTCCTCGTGGCTCCGTGGCCTCTGCCCGGACTTCTTCTCAAGTTTCGGCTCTGCCTTTGGACTGAAGGAGAGGGTTTAAGGAGACACTGAGGCAGCGACCCCCGGCAGTGGTGCCCACCGGAGTCAGAGCCCAGTGCTTATAACGGGGTCCATTCCTGAGGCACCCTGAACCCGGCTTCCTGGATTTCAGCACCACCACCGCCTGACCCCCAAAGCTGGGCCTCCCCAGGGTCCTCTCACAGCTGGGGCAATCCAGTCCCCCTGTCTTCCTAAGATGCCTTAGCTGGGAGCTGGGATTCATTTGCAGGAACTCAGATGACTGTCCCAGGACCCCAGTATTCTCCCAGAGACCATATCTAAAACAAGAAAGAGAAGCCACAGACCCACCTCCTCATCCAAACACCTGGGATGGAGCAAAGGGGCCTTATATGCACCTCCTAGGGCCAGGGGGCTGACCCCAGCAGGGGCCTCTCCCGAAGCCAAACTGCTGACAGCCCAGGAGAAGACAGCTATGGGCTGTCACCCTCCCACCACGCCCTCAGGCACAGTCTTGGCCCAGACTCCTTGTCCAGGGGCCAAGGCTGGAGCATCGGCCAGACCAGGCCAGCACCCCCTTTCCCATGGGGTCCCTCCCTGGAGATGCAGAGCTAATGGGGCAGCGAATGGGGCAGCTGGCAGGGCTGTGACGCTGCAGGGAAGCTTCATCCTCCTGCTCTGCTCTGCTGGAGACAGGTTCTCAGGTTCCCCGTGCTCCCCCTGCACCCTTCCCTCCTGAGGAGTGTGCCTCTGCCTAGAAGAGGTTGAGGCCACTCCCCACCTTCGGGGACCTGCTGGGACCACCTGCCTTTTTGCTTTCTGCACTCCCTTCTCCCAGTGGCCCTGGCTGGAGGGAGTCCCTTTGGAGGAGTACCGATGACGACAGCGGCGGCTGCGCACTCCAGAAATGCTAAGCAAGGCATGCTGCCCCGGGACCCTGTGAGGACTTAGCTCACCCAGCCCCTGAGTCTGTTCCATTCTCAGTTCACCTGTAAGAGATCTGGGACTTAAAGAAATAAAGTAAACCTTCTCTGAAGGTTGCAGCTAGCTGGCCTCCTCTACCTGCCACTAACAAAGGAAGACACCTCCTGAAAACCCCCGGAATTCCTGTGCTCAGTGCTCCTGACCCCTGCTTGCACCTGCTCCCTACCCAGGAGGGGCCCCATCTGTAACCTTGGCTAACTTGGGCCTGAGGACCCACTGGAGGCCTGGCTGACTGGCAGTGGAGGGGCAGGAAGAACTGCCTCTCTTGAACCACCAGTCTGTTGAGTTCCCCCAAGGCCACCTCTGTCCTCCACCCTGCCCCTCACTCCCTTGGTCAGCAGGGTGGACACTGGGGCCTTACCTCATTGGTGGGTGTTCAGCCAATTGCACATCCGTAGCCATTGTATGGTTTCTAATAGGACAAAGACCAGTGCACTGACTACCAGTGTTGAAGATGGATAACAGGAACTCTCATAGAACGGTGGTGGGGGTATAAACAGGAACAGACACTTTAGGGGGAAAAAATTGGCAATATTTTGTAAAATTGAACATTTGCGTGCTGTATCACCCAGCAATTTCCCTCCCAGACGTAAAGGAAATTCCTGCAGATGTGCAGCAGGAGCTACTTATAAGAATATTCATTCCAACATTGTTCAAAATACCCAAAACCTGGTGACAACCCAAATGTCCCGTGGCAGAACAGATAAATAAGCCATGGTACATTCAGACAACGGAACATTTTATTGCTATGAAAATAATTGAGCCACAGCTACATACAACAACATGCATGAATCTTCTAATGCTAAGTCAAGGAAAGCGGGTTCCGGGAGACCACATAACATGAGGTCATTTCTAAAAATAAAAATGCAAACGCAAGCACAATTATCACAAACGTGATAAAAACAACAACAGCAAAAACCAAGGAAATGCTAACCACAAAGTTCAGAGAGTGGTTGTTTCGGGGAGGGGCGGGCGGGGAGGGGAGTTGGGTGGGAGATGTGTTAGTGGTGATATTTTAGTTCCTGGGTTGGGCGGTGCATTTACTGGTATTCTTTATATTATTAAATAAACGAATTAGATGAAATGGGTGCAAGACGATAGGCGTCAAAACCAAGAATTGTGATTAATCTAAATGTAGGGACCTGAATATACATAGTCAAAGTGCTGGGGGTGGGTTTGGGACAGGAAATCAGTGTGTTCTGAGAATTAACCCTTGGAGTCACAGAATCCGCAAGGGACCCTGGAGGCTCGGCAGTGCCAGCATTTGTCAGGTTCCTTGTCTGAGATCAAGGAAGAGGAGAGGCTTGCTGAGATCACACAGCACAGGACCAGAGCCCAGGCATTCTGACTCGCAGGCTCTGGTCTTTTCTCTAGAAACAATTGGCACAGCCTCCTTTTATGAAAGCTTTGCTCATCCTTGATGCTGGGGGCTGGGCCCTAGAGTTCTTGGATGCTGTGAGCATGAGAACAGGGCATCGGGAGCCCCAGATCCACCTGCCTACAAGAAAACGTACTCTTTAGAACAGAGACTTGCAAACACTTTTCACTGTGACGACGGTAAGAAATTCATTTTTACATCACGACCTAATTCACACACGTGTGTGTGTGTATGTTTGTGTGTGTCTGTGAAACTTACAAGAATATAAAGAATATACAGCAATAATGACACATGTCACATGGGATGCACCCTGATATTTTATCCTATTTTTGTTTTCATTCTGTAAATGTTAGACATGACCCATTACACTGGTTTAATAAGCCACCAGTGGGTCACAGCCTACAGCTGCCGTAGAGAGGTCATCAGGGACTCTAGCAGGCCAGGCCTGCCTTTTCTAGAGAGGAGCAGGTGGGGACCCCCACCTCCTCGCACAGAAGTCTGTCCTGTCCTGACCCTGCTTTCTCTTCCCGGCCCCCAGCCAGCTGGGCAGAGGGGTGTGAAGGCTCCCACCAATGCAGCCACAGAACTTCCCTTTCCATCTAGGCCCCTCTGGGCCTCTAGTGTCCATCTCCTCCCCCAAGAGGTCCCTGGACTCACCGAGGAAAGTCCTCGCTATAGTATGTGGGCAAGAAGCCCTGCTGGCCTGGCAGGGAGGAGCAAGGGGACCAATCTTGAAGGGAGTCTCATCGGTTCTGTGGGCAAGGCTGCTGCTTTGTGACTGCGTGAGCCCTGTGGTTGCTAGGTTACCTGACCCAGAACTCCAGGCCCACTCCCAAGCACCCCTGTCCCTCACCCACACTGTCTCCTCTTGCCTCTCCTGGAGGGCCAGACAGGGCCCCCCAGGACCTTTTCCCACCAGGCTTCCCTGCTGCCTCCCATCCAGTGCTTTCAGTGGGGACCGAGGGGTAGAGGGAGAGTCAGGGGCTGGTTTCAGCCAGCAGCAGGGGCAGAGAGAGTCTGGCAAAGAATGTTGGTCCAGTTCGGTCCCAGCCATCAGCCCCACCCAGCCTGAAGCCATCATGCCACCAGTCTGCCTCCATGCATCCTGCTTCTGGGCATTAATTCTCAGGGGTTATGTCTTAGAGAGGAGGAGACAGCCCACGTGACCCAGAGGCTCCCTCCAGCCCCAGTCTCAGCGGGATGGCTGGGTGGGCAGGTTCTGAGTTTTCAGTTGGACAGGAGTCCGAATCAGATTCTGACACTCCATAGATGTGCCACCTGGGGCGAGTCACCCATACTGCCACAGATACACAATAGTGGTGAGAATCCTTGGTTCAGATCCCCTTTCTGCTACTCCCTAGCTGTGTGGCCCTGGACAATTCCCTGAAATCTCTGAGCCTTCGTTCCCATCCCTCTGAAATGGAGATGATGTTCACACTTATTCTCACAGGATTGTTGGGGATATTAAGTGAGTTAATGCGTATTAAAGCACTTAGAACAGTGCCTGACACCACGTATGAACCATGTATGATCTTTTTCCATTAATGCCTCCTCTGGGTCTGTAAAATGGAGTACCTTGCCTACCTCTGGGGTTATTCTGAAGGACAAACAAGCTAGTGGAAGTGATGCACCTGGTCATATGTCCGGCACTCAAGAGATACTCAAAAAGGATGATAATAATAATTGTCATTATTGGTAGGATTATGTAGCGGGATGAGTCCTTCTTCTGAGAATGATCTCGGATATTCACTTTAGCTCCCTGAGACTCAACTTGGACACCTGCAAAGTAGGATAGTCCTTGGCCCATAGGGCTGTAAAGAGATCACAGGCTGGGAGGAGTGTAGACAGGCCCTGTAAACTGCAGGACTGGATGGAACCCGTGGGGTGGGCCTATTACAGGGTCTTTGTCCTCAGCACCTCTGGCTTCATGTTGGTGCCCTGAGGCTTCTAGACTGTGTCTTCCCTCTGGGGAGCAAGAAAAGGAATGTGGGTAGCTACAGGCATACCCAAGCCCTTCGGAAGTTCTGCCCCTCGCAGCTGAGGGTGGGGAATGAGGCCACCGTAACGGCCACTGCAGGGTGGCCTCTGATCCTGGCCTGCTCCAAACGCCTCTCCATCCACACCAGGCAGAACCTTCCCTGCCTGAGCCCTGGCTTCTTCTCCTGGGCCTGTCCCTGCAGGAACGAGGTGATCTCTTTGAAATCGTTCTGAAAACCCCCCTTTCTGTGCTCCTGGGCGTCCTGCTGACTATGAAGACAGATGATACTGTGTTTGGAAGGAGAGAGGGCTCTCTTCCCTCGTGACGGGCCCCTCCTGCTGCTTTCAGCACTCTTGGGGGACTTCCCACCGTGTGAACTGACACAGCTGAGAGGAAAACCCACTCTCGCCCTCCCCACTGTGCCTTGCAATGCGTCCATTGTACTATTTAGAGCTGATCGCGAGGGTCCGCCTGCAGATTGCAGCTGGGGGGTGGGGGGCTCCTCAGGAAATGTCTTCAACCCTGGTTTGTAAGAGAAGAGCTGAGGAAATCCTTCTGCCTTCTGTCTTGGTGGAGGGTCAAAAACAGGAGAGAGATTTGTCAGCTGGGCATGGTTCAAGGCACAGTCCTCTGCCTACATACCTCAGTTATAAAAGGAGCAATAGAAACCTTTGTGGAACACTTCCTATGTGCCAGGCATCGTGCTAACCCTTTTAAATATATTACCAATGTCCTTTGCTCTGCAGAGGTGGAAAGTAAAGATCAGAGAAATTCTTAGTTATATGTGTTGCAAATATATTCCCCCGTCTGTGGCTTGCTCTTCTGTCTTTAGATGCAATCTTTTGATAAAGAGAATTCCTAATTTTAATATAGCCCCGTTTATCAATCTTAATAGCTTTTGTGTCTTATTTAAGAGATCGTTGCCTACCCAAGGTTATGAAGATACTTTCCTATATTGTTTTCTGGAAGATTTACTGTTTTACCCTTCACATTGAGATCTATGATCAATATGGAATTGATTTTTATGTATGGTGTGAGATAGGGGGTCAAGATTCATATTTCTTCCCCATACAAATATCCATTTGACCCAGTACCATTACATGAAACACTGTCCTTATCATGCTTCTCTGCAGTACTATCTTTATCAAAATTCAAGTATCTGTCTATGTGTGGGTCTGTCTCTGGACTTGTTGTTTGTCTACCATTGCTCCAATACTATACTTTCTTAATCACTATAGCTTTAAATATTAATACATCTAAATATCTGTCCTGACCTGCGGGACCTTCTGTTACTCGTGGGGTCAAGGGGGACCATGCCTGAAAGAGATGGGCGAGAGAAAGGAACGAGACCAAGCAAAGGGTTGTCAAGGTCTGCTTTACTTGGATTCTTTGTAGGTTTTATAAGCATATAGAAACAAGGAAGTAGAAACAGAAAAATAGAGTGGGGTGATGATGAGGCTTGGGTCTGGGGCAATCAGCCCCAATCAGCGTCTTATCGGTATCGAAGCTGTTTGTGACTGATTACTCAACCCCAACCTGGCAGGTGGTCGGGAACAATTGCAGTTAGCACTCCCTGGAGCATTCCGTGGTCAGCACGTCATGGAATGCATTCTTCTTGGAGCTATAGCTGGAATTTTCCAGGGCAAAGCCCGTGCGTAGGACGAGTCATAGGGAAGTTGAGGGTCTTTGAGGGTCCTTGCCTTTAACATCTCCCCTTCTCTTTATTAATATGAGGGAGATTTATATAGGTGGGTGGAGAGCCTGTCTTAGGCTACGCGATGGGCTTCCGTGACCAGCACCCCAAATATAAGATTGGGCGATTAACGTAAAGGTGAGGCCTCTGTCTTAGGCTATGTAGGTGGCATCCAGCTTCGGCACTTTTGATTATGAAGTGTGCCCCCGGGCATGGACCTACAATATTCCCGTCATGGAGTCACCTCACCGTCGGCGGGGTGTGCATCTGGTATAGCATCGCGATAATCCCGTCATGGGCGTCTCCACAGCCTTTGGAACCAACTGCGTTCCATGTCTGAGGCAAGGTCTGAGAAATTTAGACCATCAGTGGGTGTATTGGGAGACTCTCCATGGAGGTCTTCTCTGGAGCCTCTTTGTTCTAGCCGTTGGTAAAACACGGAGACCGATTTTTGTGTGGCTGCGTCTACCTGTGACTTGACAAAATCAGTTAGTTTTTTGAATGCCCAAGGCCCAAAGGTGAGGAGCAACAGAAATCCTACAAGCGGCCCTAAGACACTGGGAAGCAATGTGGATAGCCAGGGGGATGTGGAAAACCAATTTTGATACCACGCTTCACTCTGTTCTCTCCGTTTTTTTCTATCTTCTAGGCTCTGTCTAACTCTTTCAATGCTATCTTCTACCAGACCTGTTTTGTCTGCGTAGAAGCAACATTCTTTTTTAAGTGCTGTGCACAAACCTCCCTCTTGGAGGAACATTAAGTCTAGGCCTCTTCTATTTTGTAACACTACCTCAGAAAGCGAAGTGAGGGATTTTTTGAGATATTTTAGGCCCTGCTGTAGCTCTTGGAGATCATTATCGATGGCAGCAGAGAGCTGCAGGTATTGCTGGTTGGAGGTGACTAGAGAGGCTATGCCTGTTCCAGCCCCTGTGGCACCAAGGCCTAGAACAACTGTGAGTGTTATGGCCGTGATGGGCTCTCTCTTTTCTCGGGGCATTGTGGTGCCACACTCCCAAAATTTGAGCAATTCGTCAGTAGGACGTATAGTGAGTCTGGGGAAGAGCATGACTAACACACAATATTCTCTATGCTCAAGAAACGTTGCAGTGACTACATACGGGGTAAGGCCGGAAGAACAAGCAAAATAAGAGGTGTTAGATGCCTGAATATACTGAAAGGTGGAGTTGACAGTAATTGACTGATTGCATATTTTCTTTAAGGGTGAGGGGGGAAGCATTCTTGGGCTAAGAAGGCAAAGGCCTAGGCCTGTGATTTGGCTGAGTGTCAGGCCATCATGGGTCTCTAGGCTCTATCTGAGTTCGCTGGTGTCCAATAGAGGAACTGAATTAATTTATCAGGGGGGTAATGATTATCTAGTTTGCCCTGGAAAGACGTACAGTTAACCGCCCAATCATTATCATTTTGTATTAGCCACTGAATTTGAGAAGCATTGTAAGGGAGTATTATGATATCTGGATCCTTTCCAAAAAGCTTAAGGGAGTTTTCTCACCCCAAGCGAATAATCTTAGCTACTAAATAAGGGTAGGTGGAAAGGACTTTAGGGGGGGAAGCCGATAGGTGAACCCAAAAAAGGAGCTTGCCCTGCCAGAAGAGTCCCGTGGGTGAAAAGGGGGTAGGGAGGACAATAAAGTACAAGGGGGAATTGGGGGAGAAGTAGCCGATGGCCTGGGCGTTTATGGCCTGCTTGACCAAATTAAGCACTTGCTGCCCTTCTTTAGTTAGGGAGCGTGGAGAGGTTGGATCGACATCTCCCTGCAGGATGTCAAATAAGGGTTTTAACTGTCCCGTGGTGAGTCTCAAATATGGGCGAAGCCAATTAATGTCGCCTAGAAGGCGCTGAAAATCATTAAGGCATTGAAGAGAGTCTTTTCTGATTTGCACCTTTTGGGAGAGGACCTTATTGGGGAACAATTCAAAGCCTAGGAACAGGTGAGGGGGGCAGACCTGAATCTTTTCAGGGGACAAGCGGAGGCCTCGAGCTTGTAAGGCTGAGACAACCTGCATGGTAACTTGATGTAAGGTTGCCTCGTCGGCCCCAGCGAGAAGAATGTCATCCATATAATGAATTATATATAGCTGAGGATGTTGAATTCTAAAAGAATCA